AAAAGAAATAAGATCCTGAGGATGTCGCGTGCCTTGAACTTTTTGCTCGAACGCGACAGACTTGAGAGGATTCTTCGGCCCTTTTTCAAGCTTGATATTAAGATTTAGCCGCCGGACTGTTTCTCGTCTGGGTGGTCGGCCGGTCATCGCTGCCGCTTTCTGGATGGCCAACAGATGTGGTGGAGTGCGCTAGCACGCTGGTCTTGGGGGCCATTTGCTGATCCTTCGCCTCTTTAGTTGTCAGAGGCTAGACTTGGTTTTCATGATAACCATCTATTGGCATGGCCAAGGTATTAGCATATTCTACTGGATGTTAGAACTGATACAAAGCAGCTATTTATCAGCACATCCATGTTTTTCTCTGGCGATGGCAGCGGTAACTAGCCGTTCAACTTTGCATATGCATTTGTCGTTGTAGTACCATATAGGCAGAAAACTTGATGCGCACCGTGCACGGCATTCTACCGAGCGATATCACCGCTGCATCAAGGGGCCTGACCTCAAAAACGCCTGTCATTTTAGCAGTGTTTACCCACAGGATCTTGACGCTCATCGGGGCGCTGAACTCGGCGCTTAACGTCCTGATCAATGATGATGTGCCCGAATCCCCGGTCCGTGATTGGTGTGGGGCTCTAGTATAGCGGAACCCTACAATTCCAGAAAACGAAAAGTCGCCGACTCTGTAGGGGAGCTCTGTCACGTGGACACGCCCACCTACATAATAGTTGTAAAAAGATCACGTGTAAAGCTTTAGCCACACACCCCCCCCCCCCCCAAATCGAAAAATTGGAAAACTATGTGGAGAATAGTCTATAGGGTCTAGACTCTACAGATCTACTAGACGTTATAGGGCCTGGAAGTCAGCTTCGATGGATAAAGCATATTGAGTCCAATCTACTTTCCCACAGGAAATAAGGAACCCTTTTTATGTTTCCAAATCCACTTCCTGCTTGAGGTATCTACCTTCCTATTTCAGCGTCATGGCGGGCAACACCCAGCTTTCTACAATAGAGTTCAGATTACGGTCAAATGTGCGATTTTGAATCCCTGAAATGAAAAATACGTATTGTTAGAGAGCCGTGTGATGACTGTTCTAGACGAAGCTGAATAGTTGTATCTTTGTGGCGGCCTGAGCACTTATCCGACGGCACTCTGCTATGTCGAAATATATATAGTTAGTATGGACGAAGGTTGGTCCGTGGTTGAATGGTACCCACAATTCTAATATACCAACGCTTTGGCCAAAATGAATTATATACGTACTTGGGGACTACCTAAGTGTATTTATCTATTCTGTAGCTGGTCAATCTTGGATATCCTATCCCTCACCATAGTTTGGATCGTTCTGGCGAGATTCCTAATCTTTGCCGGGTTTGCTCGGGTATTACCCGGAGCTTGGCATGCAATCTTGATATCCGGGCCCAGACTTTCATCAGCTGATCCCCTATTGCCGCCGAACATCAATGGGTGACATAAGTACTCCCTACTCTTAATCAATTAGCATGACTGGGATTAAGTCGATGCATTACTCAGTACAAGTTAATCAATCCTTATGACATATGTAGCTTAAGCTTTAGTTTGGTCCCTTGAGGTCATTTCCGAAAATTAGCCATGAATCTTAATGAGGCCCACTCTCTGTTTCAGGAAGTTTCAAGTAAACAGTCGTGATTAAGTCTTGAGGAGCATACTCTTCGCCATATATATCAACCACGTCTACTTATCCCAAGCTTTGCTTAGCTTAATTACCTCTTTTCTTTGTTGTTTAGAAGTCAGCCGTGCTGCTTTCTCACTTCTACATTCTTTTTATCAACATGGTTCACCTCTCCCGTGCCCTGGTGGCCCTCTCCTTTTCGGCATCTGCCCTTGCCCTTCCTGCTCTCTCCTCTCGAGCCCAGGCGGCGAGTGAGCACTGTGGAGACTATGACTATGTTATTCTACAGGACACACCATGGATTGTCTACAACATGCTCTACAATGCGAACCAGATCGTTGGCACACAATGCACCAACTACGGCCAGGTTACCACGTCTACCAGCGGAACTCAGGAGGTTATATGGAGTAGTGTGACAGACATCGAATATGTGGAAAGCACGTAAGAGTTTCACTTGGTATTTGTATTTTAGAGGGTGAAATCAACATAGGTCCACAGGAACAATGTACCAAAGGGCTACTCTTTCGTGGGTCTCACCCAGAACCTTGAAACAAAGCTGTCGGCCATCGACTCGATTCCGAGCACTTACAATTGGACTCGTACCAACACAACTGCATACAAGGGTATAATTCTACCCTACTGAGGCCTTTGCATGGCATAGCTCATGGATCACCAACAGGAAATGTCTGCTTCGATTTCATGACCAACGACATTAAGGGTGATTCCACCTCTTCTTCCTCCCGGGAGTTGATGCTCTGGCTGCAGTACGAGGGCGGACAGCTTCCCATCGGGTGGACCAACGGCGCTGTTGCCACTATTGACGATCTCTTCGGCACCTCGTGGAAACTGTACGAGGATGTCAACGAGGATACCGGCATCACCGTCAGCACTCTGATGCCCGATACGCAATTTGAGGGAACCTTTACCGGGGATCTGAAGGACTGGCTTCTTGCTTTGTCTAAGCTGGGACGCTTCACTGAGTCGACCTATGTCAACGTTGGTAATGCTGGGTACGTTGCATTTCTCTCCAATTTAGCTTAAAGACTTCTAACAGTCTGTACAGAACCGAGTTCTTTTATGGCAACTCTGTCATGAACGCCACCCTCGGATTGCAGATCAATCTTGCATAAACTATCGATATTCAATCCTGAATCGAATAGCTCCTACAAACCAACGATGACTGACATCAACTTGAGGGCATAGGGGATGGTTTTGGTATCCTGAATTCCGGATGGGATATTCGAATACATGGCGTAATAAACGTGGATTTGTGGTACACAAATTTTGAAGTTCAGTCTATGAATATGGTATTCTAAACATAATTAAGGATATATTTGTGTTAAAGATCCAGAACCACACTCTTGAAGACAGTTTGGTCAAAGTTCGCACCGCACAAGACAATGACGCTAGTTTGGTTGGCGAGCTGTTGTGCAACTTTATTGAAGCCAGCCAAAGCAAGAGCGGCAGAGCCTTCGACATTCATATTTTCATCAAATGCCATAGCCTTCATAGCCGCTTTAATCTCATCCTCATCACATTCAACGACGCGATCCACCACAGACATTGCCAACGGGAGGGTGATTGTATCCGTATCGATGCCGCCAGCAACAGCATCAGCTAGGGTGTCCTTATGTTCCGTCTCTACTACATGACCTGCAGCCATGGACTCGGCGAGAGCTTTCGAATTAATCGCAGAAACACCATAAACCTTCGTACGCGGACTTAACGCTTTCACGACAGCCCCAATACCGCTAATCAACCCCCCACCACCCATAGACACGAAAACGTTATCCACCTCTTCACACTGTTCGAGAATCTCTAACCCAATAGTCCCCTGCCCGGCAACAATATCCGGGTCATTGTATGGCGAAATATAAGTATACGAATCCGAAACAGCAAGCCGCTGAGCATATTGTTCAGCAAGACCCGTTTCAGCACCATGCAGAATAACATTCACCCCGTAGGACTTGATCTTCTCTAATTTCGCAGGCACCACCGATTCTGGGAGGACAACAGTGAGATCTTTAGAGAGCGCTTGCGCGGCACATGCGGCGCCTATGCCATGGTTGCCCGACGAGGCGGTTATTAATCGTCCATTCGCAGGTTGGCCGGACATCTTGGACATTGCGCCTCGGATCTTGAATGATCCCGTCAATTGGAAGTTCTCCGCTTTGAATAGGACTTTTGCGCCATGGGATTTGCCTTGCACTCTGGATGGAATGAGTGGTGTTTGGTAGATGTGGCTGCGGATGCGATTCCGTGCCTGGACTGCGCTGGCTGCGGTTTCGAAGACTGAGTTCTGCATTTTTCCCCCTATTCTTAAATAGGTAGTGTAAAGTGTGTAATGGAGGTGAAAAGTCTGTGATGGTTGGAATTGGAATGTTGGGGTGTGTTGTTGTCCTCTTAACATGCGTTTCTCGCGAATTAGTCAAAAGCCCCTCATACCGAGCTAGAGCCGGGAATTTGGTTGTGGTTCGCCATGAGACAATATGAGGCCCACTAATTATGAGGGGGTGATTGGTTTAAACGCTTATGTTGCCTGAAATGGTTTAGATCTCCCGATCAAGGGCATAGCATTTTTTAGGAGCCTGGATCTCCACCAAAGAATTAACTGCCCTAATGTCCAATATCAGCATGAGTTGGATATCAGGACAAGATAACTATACTGAGGTTTTCCCTTCAGGATCGGGTAGGAAAGCATGAATATAAATACCGACTCTATAAAGGATCTATGACTTTTTCGAATCTGAGATCTATTTAATAAGACTATTATGGTTCCCGGCGGTCAGGTATGAAGGACTGAATCTGATTTCACTCTTCATATCAGTCAACCTTTTGTATTTGAGACTAGATGGTAGTAAAAAGACCCAGTAGACAATATATCAATTATCAGGCACGGTATGACGTCATACATGCCAGTCCTTTCCCAAGCACACCCAATCGAAGGTGTTTGGTGGTACACAAATAGGAGTAAGTAATGGGAAAATACACGTTGCCTAATATTATAAGCTACATTTAAATGATATGCGTGACCGGTCGTTATCAAGTGAGTCATTATTTCTAGTTGAAAAATTTTGAACAGTAAAGCCGTAATCTACATCGCACTCGATCTAAATCTTAGATCGTCCCTCAGGGCCCAGTCGCTCGAGCACCTGCTCCCGAACATCATGCACGATAGTCGCAGCATCCTTAACATTATGAATCAAGCCAATGGACGCACCAGCATAAGTAGCCAGCCTTCCCTCGGGACCCCAACCAGCATCACCAGCCTTCAGAGCCTGATCATGCTCCACCTTGAGCTCATCAAACGACCGGCCAGCCTGATGCTCAATGAAACTCTTGTTGATAATAGTACGCGGCATATACGGCTCAGGCCAGCCCATCGTACCACGAAGATGATTATAAAGTAACGTCCGCGTCGTGGAAGCCGCACCATCAGTAGCTCGCACAATTTCACCCTGATACCCGCGACTAATACGCGCCTCCTCGGAGGCCAAAAACCGCGTTCCCATGACAACACCATCAGCACCCAGACAAAGTACCGCTGCAGCTCCTCGCCCATCGGCAATACCTCCCGCCGCAAAGATAGGGATCTGACTACCAGCCAACGCGTCGACAACTTCCGGGAGGAGCGTCATCAGTCCGAGTCCATCCTTATGTCGACCATGACCACCGGCTTCTGATCCCTGGACAACAATTACATCGGGTCGCTCGGATCCCTTCAAGAGTCCCTTTGCCTCTGCTAGCGTGCCTATCTGGATCCAGATCTGGGTCTGTGATGATGCATCGCGGATGCTGCGTGACCAGTGGTCGTAATCTTCTTGACCACCTTTCGGGGCGAAGAGCCATGCAGCACATGGCTTGAACTTCTTGATACCGGAAACGGCAGTGGCGAGGTCATCGCTCCAGAGCTGGAATCCGACACCAATAGGAAGTACATTGGTCGAAGAGGAAAAGGCGGATGAGGACTTACGAGCCTCGTCGACTAATGTTGACACCTTCTCAAGATCGACAAGCATATCTTGTGTTTTCACAGCTGGTCCGAGAAAGCCTAGACCTCCGGCGCGCGACACGGCCACAGCCAAGGCGGGACCTGACATCACGCGCATTGGGGCGCTGACGATGAAGGGATTGGCTACCCATGGATAAGAACGTGATAAACTCATGGCGAGGCGTAGGGCTTTTGACATATTTACTAGGATATCGTGAGGGTGGCCAGGGGAAATGTTGGATTATATAGAGTGTTTGGAGGAGGATCTTCAGGGCTGCGATTCAAGTAGCTTGGTCAAGAAGGCGGGGCCGGAGCTAAGCTCCGCGGGGGGCGGATATTGCGGAGTTATGTCACATGTCGCCTGTCACATGCTTGCTGGAACCCTTATTTGTTCTTTATTGCAGTCCATCTCCGGCTGATGTCCCTAGCAAATTATGTATAGTGTGGCTAGAATATGAGGGTCAAAGGTGAAGGTGAGCTATGCTGGCAGAATCTGAGCCCGAACATGGTCGTCGTGGTTACTCATACATGGCATGAAGTGTACTCCGCATATGATTGGGTGACCGACTATAACCGCGCAAGTTCACCCAACAATTGACGGTCAACGACACGTCGGCGAAGGCTAGAACGGGGGTTGGTCATGAAGGAACCTTAAAGCAGGAGACAAGGAAATGATGTGCGAAGTTCCGTCCGTCCGTACTGCGGGCCGCACCCCCACTAAGACCGTTCGTGCTTCCGATCATATTCGTCATGCATGTGAAGAGAGCTGGATTTATAGATTGTGCTTGTTTGGCCCTGATGTATATAAAGAGCCGTGTTTAGCAGGTATGTCCTACCATGGCGGGTCATGAGTGCATTCCTGGGAGAGACAATAAGGCTCGAAAGATGACAACAATCCTGTCTATGTGACGTCACTCAGCAAGGCGTTAAGCGGATTATATAGAAATTCTGAATATTTTCGGAATACGAGAAGTGGAGCTTCGCTGGCTACCACCTACATCGGAGCAATCAATTGATATGTATAAGCTGTTGAAATGGCGAAATACTTGGCACGGCCTCGTAAAAGTGCTAAAACATAACTTGTCTCACTCGCGAAAGATTGTTTCAGTAGTGGCTAAAACTAAGCTTCTAATCCTAGTGACCCAGCAACTTCCCAATATACTCCGCAATAGCTAGGGTCCGTTCCTCACTAAGACGTCTGCCGATAATCTGCACGGCAACGGGTGCGCCGTGATAAACCTCGGGATCGTACTCTGCATAAACCGCCTTATCCATATCACTAATCGGCTGATAATCCGTCAATTTGCGATCCACCGCCTTATCTGCATAGGTGACTGGAATAGCAACGCTGGTGTAATCCAGCACGTTAAAAACAGTAGCATACCCATAGTACCGGAATTGGTTGTGACGGACTGCAGCTGTCGCCGCCACCGGGGCGATAATAGCGTCAAGCTCCTTGCCCGTCCGTTCCTCCCATTCGCGCCACTTGTCAAGGTATTCGCACTGATAGTTCCACTTCTGTAGCTGCGCGTCCCATGCCTCGTTCAAATCTGCTTTGGGTAGGTTGGGATTCATGAGGTCCTTGATGTTCGGAATAGCGGGTTCTCCTGAGGCGTTGATGTGTTTGTATACGTCCTACATTATGTTAGCACCTATACTAATTTTCATGGGGTGTTACTCACCGTGCTTCCATCTGCAGCGTAAATTTTGTTGGCTAGGTCAACGGCAAATGCATGTTTGTAGGGCGTCCAGGGTGCCACAGTATGTCCGTTTTTCTCAAGCGTAGAGCGGACAATTTCAACACCACGAGTAATCGGAGGGTGTGGACGTACCTTAACCAGTCGTTAAACAATGTGACTACCAATGTAGGAGGAGTGGTCAATACTTACAACGCCATCGAAATCATAAAAAGCGAGATTTAAACCCTTCTCAGCAATTTTTGCTTGCGCGGCGTTTTCCTCGGCCTCCCTCCAAGGAAGCGGTATGACTTTCGAATCATACTTCCAAGGTTCCTCCATGAGGACAGATTGAAGGAAAAGTTTAACATCTGAAGGGCGTTAGTACTTCCAGCGCAGATATAATTCAGAGATATACCTTGAGCAGAATGCGCAATTGGTCCAACGACGCTGTGTATCGTTTCTTGTCCTTCCATGCTGTTCGTCATACCACCGTAAGGGAGACGACCGTGGCTTGGACGGATCCCGTATAAAGAATTAAATGCAGCCGGGACACGAATAGATCCACCTGAATGCCATTAGTTGCCATGAAAGATAATGAACTAAACATGGAAACCTACCGATATCAGTTCCTATACCGATGGCACCTCCACGCATAGCAATCATAGCACCTTCGCCTCCCGAGCTACCGCCACAAGAGAGGCTGAGATTTCTTGGGTTTGACGTCCGACCGATAATATTATTGACGGTCTCGCATACCATTAACGTTTGCGGTACACTCGTCTTGACGAGGAATACTGCGCCCGCCTTTCTCAAGAGGGCGGTCAATATCGAATCGCTGGTGTCACGCTTACCCAGCCACGAGATATAGGCCATGCATGTTTCAGTTCCCTAGTTTCATGTTAGAAGAGATGCACGCCAGTGTGGGAAAGTCATCTTACCTTGACTCGTAATTGATCTTTCAAAGAGATCGGTAACCCATGCAATGGTCCCACGGGTTTTTTGTGCGTCTCGAAATACGTATCAAGCTCCTTGGCCTGGGCTAACGCTAACTCTGGGAAGAAGTCATGTGCGCATTTAACCTATTCTCATTGGTATCACGTATCTCCGACCGAGGCGAGGGTTATACTCACAAGTTGATGAGCCAGTGCAGCTCTTTTACAGAATGCCAGTGTCACGTCCACGGACTTCAACGTGCCATTGGCCAGTTGAGCGACAAGTTCTGTCGCAGACGAGTTTGTAATCTTTATTTCAGAAGGTGACAGAACCCCAGACTTCTCAGGCAGATCAATAACAGAGCCTTCTGTTGGGACTGCCTTGATTTTCCATTCGTCTGGGATGGACTTCTCTAGACGTGCCCTTTTATCAGCGGCAAGATCTTCCCAGCTGGCCGATGACATAGTGACAGAGTGGTAGGCTTGACTGTAGACGATTGTAGAGCAATCTATCTGGTGTCTAACATAAAATACATTTTTCCATGACTTACGTTGCTTTATATCTCCAATATCTCCAAGTCTCAAATTTGGGGTTACCCCGCAACCTCAATGTTGCATCACGGCCATACGGACCATGAAAGGAGAAATGGAAGCATAAGTGAGGTTTTTTAGCTTTTCATTGGCCCGCAGAACCGGTTATCTCGTGTTTATCTTGGCCATGAGGTTTTTGGAGTTGTCTGGACCCACATTAGATAAACAGTTCTTTACTTTTATAAATTCACCAATGCCTCTAGTACTTTCCGAGGCTGGTTCTGCCGTTCTAACAGATGGGATTGGACCAACTTGCTAGGTTATCCCACGGAAGTCGGCATTTTCACAACATCCGTGACAACAGGGCGCAGGTCGCTGATACTTAACTTTAATGGAAGCTTAAACCGGGGTCCCTGCAAGTGGGGCGAGCCCTACAGAAGAACTTGGGTGGGAGTAAGATACCAACAGGTCGGCGATAGAAACCCATATTTCCCCGTTTCTTGAGCTTAGGTGTCGACCTTTGTAAGACTTATTCACACATTCTACTTTCATCCTTCATAGATGTTCAAGTTTGCAACCAACCTGAAGAGCCTTTTCTAAATTTTCGGTACACGGACGCCACATGATCCAACAGGCTCCGTTGCCAAGGTTTCTGGCCAGCCCTCATCTAGCTGTGGTGGTAGCTAAGGTATCTTGTGGTGCGGTACGTAACTTATTCCATCTTGCCGTTATGTAAACCGTCTTTAAGGTTGGGTTAGCCGAGAAATGGTGCCCAGGGAGGTCCGGGTGCGTTTATAGATTCCGGCGTCTTCGAGGAGATACAGGTAAAGTCAAACATCGATATCACCTTAGACGAGCACACTGGGCCCTAATAGATTTCGGGGGACTTACCCAAGAAGCTGACACGAACTAAACCAAAGATGGAGGAAGCAGAGGCAAATGATGTGGAGCAGTTTAGAATATATCGACAGCAATTCGTGGAGCTATACCGGGAGACGGTCTTGTTTTTACAATAATTCCCACCACCTAAACTAGAAGAAGACCGGAGAAAAAGGCGCGAGCATGCGGCTATGTGGAGGGCGCCGAAGAGGCATGATATTAGCATTGGGTCGAGGCAGGCAGAAGCCGCAGGGCAGGTAGACTATGCATCGAATCATTAAATATCTTCTCTCTTTCACCATACCATGCTTCTATCACCTGGACAAATGAGGACTTGGGGTATTCATACACCGAAACTGTCTACTTACATATCCATTCCTACATAACTAAGCCCACCAAATCCTTCGAAATCTACAGAATACTATCGAGCTCATCCATCGGATTGCGTTCCATGCCACACTCTCTAGTCGCACCGAATCCCCGAAGAACATATTGAGGAGTCCGTCACACACCAAGTCCTTTCCTTCACTCACTCGAGAGCTTTGGCAAGTATTGCAATCCGCCCCCTCTGTGCAAAAGGCCACCGGAACCGGTTTGCCATCCCGATCTCGATCTGCAGCTCCTCAGCCCATTTCCACACTAACGCAGGATTCTTCAGAAAGCCACGGCCGACTAGGACGAAGTCCAATTGTTGCTCTGTGACCAATTCTTGGACCAAAGCAGCTGTGGTGATCATCCCGGAAGCTGCAAAGAAAAGCCGGTCACCAACTGCTTGTTTTATGTTGGCAGCAAGCAGTGCCTGGAAACTAGGTTTGACATGAAGTTTGACATGAAGCTTCTGGGCGCTGTGATTACCCCCACTGCAAACATCAATGGCATCGATGTACCCCGTATCAGCAAGGACTTGAGAGAAGGCCACAGCATCTTCGAGGCGCCAACTGGGTTCATGTGGCAAGCTTTCCTCCAGCCAATCAGTCGCTGGAAGACGGATGATAACCGGCATCGAATCTGGAACCGAAGCACGGGTAAGCTTTGCAATTTCCAAGGTCAGACGTATCCGATTTTCAAAGGTGCCCCCGTAACCGTCCGATCTCTTGTTTGTAGCGGGCGATAAACACGACATTAGCAGATAGCCATGGGCATTGTGGATCTCGATAAAGTCCACCCCAGCCTTCACCGCACGTTTGACGGCAGCGACCCAGTCAGCCTTGAATTTCCCGATATCCTCTAGACACATTGCTTGTGGCTGGGCCGAGTACTCTGCGTATGGAATATCCCCAGGCCCCTGCACTGCCTTCGGCCACCCACCTAGCTTTTCGTTTGCCACATCACCGAAGGATATCCAAGGAGCCACCATGCTCGCTTTCCGGCCAGCATGCGCAAGCTGGATTCCGACTACCTGGTTTTGGCTGTGAATAAAGTCAACCACTCTGCGCAATGGTTCAATTTGCGAATCTTTCCACAAGCCGTGATCCTGAGGCGTAATACGACCCTCTGGGGAGACTGCCGTCGCCTCCACAATCAGAAATCCTGCGCCACGTTGTGCGATAGCCCCCAGATGTGCCAAGCGCCAGTCAGTCATATGCCCATCATCGGTGGAGTATTGGCAGAGGGGAGAAAGCTGAAATTGAAATCAGCGATTCGTGCTCATCTCTTTTGCATGGCGCAAACCTACCCCGATTCGATTGGAGAAAGTCACACCGCGGATATGGATCTTCTGGAATAGCTTTGGGACTAGTTTTCCGTCGCTCTGGGGATCTGCAGCCAGCCCGGCAGGGACATTCTGATAGGGAGTGAAGTAGTTCACTGTAGGCGCAGCGCGATTTTCTAGAGATCGGGACGTCATTCTCGGATATTAAGCACTAGCTGCATATCCTCAATGTGGGACCCTATACACTACTTAAATAACGGCAGTTCCTCGTCCAGTAAATTGGCTATTTATTAGCTCTTTGCCTATCTATGGTGTAGCTTTGTCAAGATTTGTTAAGCATTTAGACCGTAGGGATGAGTTTCTAATCATTTTGATATCTCCGATGTCCGATATCCATTAACCACTGTTACTCCGATTAAAGCATGGGTAAGGGATAAGCAACCAAATACTCGACATAAGCACTGTGGACAGATCTGCTGGTATGATAGATACAAGATAAAAAGTGCAGTACTGTATGCTAGACTTCTTTTCTTTGATTCGACGTTGCTAAAGGCTTTACATGTTTGAATTAATATGCCTCTGGCCTATGTTAATACGGAGAGTGGTCAATGGTGATCTAAGTACACCATTTCTATATCGACATCAAGCTTCGTTACCCATAATTTACAGATGTGTAAGCATTAACTCAATCATAGAGAGAGCGACTGTGTGTATATGTCAATTGACCTGTCTTCCTTACAGCACCTCGGGTCGGAGAAAACATTGCATCGGACTTATCGCAGTGTCCAGTGTCAATCAATGTCTCGAAAAGCCCCAATGACCTGTCGGAGATGTATGAATTTTCACGTATTTCACTCTTATTCCTCGTCTTTACTTCTTTTTTTTAAGTTTATTTTATTTGTTTATTTTTTTTTTTTTTTTCTTTTGGAGGAAAGGGGTGGAACTGAAAAGCGAGATAGGTCAACCTTCCTACCATCACGATTCACCACCCAACAGCCTCTTCCTGTGGCACGAAGCAAGACTTTCATCATGAAAAAATATACTTAATCCTAGAAGTCCAGATTCCGGAATATCTCACTCGCCTCTGTCGGTAGTTTAGATAATAATTCCATTCGAAATTACAGGTTTCTAAGCTGAGAACCACCGCAGCCATCCAGGTTTACTTAAATGATAGTCGCATTGGCTACGACAAAGGATGGGCACAAGCGACATGACCTAGCATGCAGATCATGCAAAAGCTGAATATAGAGTGACTCAGGGTACAGAGGATAGGTAAAAAGTAGAATAAATACCCTACCCGATAGTCAACTGACCTACGCTCAGTATTTAGACCACGCAGATAATTGGGTATAAAGAATTAGACCTTATTGTCTGTGAATTCCACCCCGTTTAGGATTAGGTTTAGATTATTAAGTAATACTAATTAGTTAGTACTGACTCAGTAGGGGTAAATCTAGATTATCTCTATAATGTCTGAGCTCTGACTTTACTACTATTTTTTAAGCTATGTAAATCTTACCGTTATCTCTACTAGGCCTAGTTACCTAAGGTCCTGCCCGCTCATCACAACCCAATTCATCAATCTAGACCAGATGATGTGATTGGAATAATAATAGATTAGAGGGATAAAGATCTCGTAGATCCATATTCCACCCCCTTTACAATTCACCGAGCTACTTTCCTAGACCAACCGATCAAGGCAAGGACTCTGTCGCCCACCTCCATATAAAGAAGCTCTAACACCTCCAAACAGTCGTAAGTTAAGAAAGGACGGTAATAATAAAACGTTTACTGCAACCAGGCGACCTAAGTCATCTGAGAAGTGGTTTACTTAGTAGTTACTTTGGATCATGTCCCTAATGAGTTCAAATTGTGAGACAGGAAGGTTTGGTGCCTTCATTCATTTATTATATACAGGGTGTCCCGATATTGCTATCACCATATATACCAGGATCGCCTATACAGCTGCCCCAATGTAGAAGTTCTAAAGCGAACGGATATAACCCGACAGTCCTGTTCGGTGCCCGAGTTGTCCATGCACAAGAGGCAGGGTATACTGTACATAGAATCGGTGACAGGAATATTAAAAACGGGCCAATCAAAGTGCCCGGATGCCGAGTGTAGGGTATAGAGAATAAACAGAGCAATCAAAAAGAAATTAGATAACCACCACTTTGAAATATCATCACCACTTCCAACCACAACTACAGCACGTCCCATTCCAAGGAGCGTTTAATGCTTCTCGTGGACCTCCTCAGTCTCCTGGCCACTGTCACTGCTGAGGCCAATCTCGGTCTTCTCCGGCGTAGCATGTTCGTTGGCGTCCAAGCCCAGCTCGCGAGACTGTTGGACAATCTCTTCGAAGGTGAGCTTGGGCATGGAGTTGGCAACTCTCCAGGCCATCTTCCCTTCGACATGGGCTTTGGCATAGATGATGTCGACCTCTTCAAGCTCACGGCCGGCAGTTTCAACGTAGAAGAAGAAGCCGAAGATCAAACCGAGGAAGTTAAATAGCGCGAAGAATAGATAAACACCCCATGGGCTCTGGCCAGCGAAAAGGGGTGTGAACATGACCACGGCAAAGTTGCAGATCCAGTTGGTACATGTTGACGCCGACGCGCCCACAGTACGTGTACGGAGGGGGTTGATCTCAGGGGGGTAGATCCAGGGCAGTGGTAGCAGAGTAAATGCAAAGAAAGTAATGAAAAGGAAGATACCGACAGCGGCACCCTTCGAGTTTTCCTCGGTTTCCTTAATCAAGCAAGCAAATGTGATCACAAAGCTCAGTCCCTGACCGAGGAAACCAACCAGGTATAGATTGCGACGGCCGACTTTTTCAATCATAAAAAATGACGGGATAGTTGCCAGGACATAGACAGTCGAGAATACACCACCCATGATTAGAGACAGATATTTCTCCATACCAAGGTTTTCCTGGAAAAGTAATGTTGAGTAGTAAATAGCAGCGTTACAGCCAGTAAACTGCTGGAAAAATTGACCAGAGCAACCAATAAGAAGGCGCTGGAATTCCTGAGTTTTGCCAAATGTAAAAACTGTCTTCCAGTTGGACTGTGTGCTCTTCGAGGATTCCATATCCGTTTTCAAGAAGTTGAAGTCACGAAGGACTTCATCAGAATCAGGAGAAGTACCCTTGAGCTTACCGAGAACTTCACAGGCCTCCTTGTCAAGTCCTCTCATAACAAACCACGACGGGGAATCCGGGAGCATCACGGCACCAGCGGCCACAACCAAGGCGAAAAAGATCTGGAGGGCCACAGGGAATCGCCACTGGACAGTATCTGCGGCGTGCGAGAGACCAAAGACCACCCAGTAGGCAATAAAGGTACCACCAGCGATCATCGCACCCTCAAAACAGACCAGGAAACCCCGATTGTGCGCGCCGGAGCATTCTGATTGCCAGACCGGGATTGTGGCCGTGTTCATACCATTTCCAATACCCGATACAACACGGCCAATAACGAACTGGCCAACTTCCCAATGACCAGTGAAGCAGACCGTTGTCAGCAACGCGCCAATGATGAGGACACTGGCACCCATACAGATCAGGCGAGTGCGGCCGAGTCTGTCGCCGAAGAACATGGAGAACATTGCGCCGAAGAAACAGCCAAGCTCATAACAGGATGTGACAGCACCGCGGATGACGTCGATGTAGTGTTTTTCCCCCGCAGTCGGATTGTCAGGCATTTTGAGAATTGGAAAGGAGTCCACGAACTCCTCACCGTTAAGGAGACCCGCCATCATGCCCTGATTGTAGCCAAATAGCGAGAAACCCACGACAGCGGCAAAGGTGATGCTCAATCGGAGCGACCGACCACTCAAGCCGCTAGTGGTCGTCCACATGTTGACGGTAGGAATAAAGTAAGAGCCGTCAGTTCGTTGGGGGGAGGTGGGGGGGAAAGAAAGCTGGGGGAAAAATTATAAGGGAGTAAAGAGTACATCGGGACAGGAAAAGTCGCGGTCTTATAACAACTTATATATCGGACTTTCTAATGTAACCTTGGTGGGACCCCGAACGGGGAAAGTCCAGCGAGGCGGAGAGACGCAAACGAACTTTTTTGCCTTGGCGCTTGGCGCTTGGCACTTGGCACTTGGCGGGATCCACTGCTTATGATGGCGATGACTAATCTGGAGGCCCCAGGTGCGATTTCCAATATTCCAATATGTCGTCCCTGGAGCCGCCAAGGCCTTTGGCGCCCCAACATGATGTCGATAACTTTTCGCCAAGTTACCCACATGGCGCTAAGCAAAATTTGCCCGGTTCTTTACGAAATTTTGAACCAATGATACCCAACAACTTTGCGAGAAGCACAAGGCATGCGGACCGAAGCAATCTCGCTCGACTGTCTTATTGTGTCAAATTGGCATTTCGACCAACGCCGTAGGAGTAAGTGGCAGGTGGTATCGGGACCCACTCGGAACGGCCGTGTGTATGTATTAGTATCTTGATTCACATGAAACTATACTAAACGAACGCTTTCCGGGCCGCATAGACCCCATTACTCTCCATCTGGAGGACCCATGACCCACAATGACGATGCGGTCTATGGAGTACAGAGTAATGTTACCGACTGGGTCCATTGTTACGTTCCTTTTCTTGATGAACCACTCATAGCAGACCAACAATAAAATTTTGCAAAATGCCACGTTCGCAAAAGCTGCGGAAAGATATGAGAGAGTTATGGTGAGATCGTGAAGAGTGCAAAAGAGGGATTAAACATCATCTCATCGGAATGCTACCTCCACCTCTTCCCCCACGATACGTGCACAAGGTGGTTCAATCCGGGGATTCCAGCGCTAGAAGAGTCAGACGTTGTACGGTTGCAAGAGTCCATGATTAGGCGGGGGGATGGGGGAGCATGTGGGCAAGCCGGCCAGTGGCCAAGGGAAGCTTTGCCGACTTCTTGGCAAAACGCCGAGTTCTTGGCACACGGCGAGTCCCGCCACGGCGCCACCATTTCCGTTCAGGTCGACTGGCGCCCCAGAACTGACCGCGGGGCTGCTTCATATCCGGGGCAGAGTATCGGCACGTGGTATGCCGTTTCAGGGCATTCGCCGGCACCATCATCACGGCTTACCTTCCAAACAGTGCCCTTCGCCTCGGGGTAATTTGCGTGGGGGCCGTGGACCAACATCCTTAACGAGATCTGTCGAGGCGTAACGGCTTTGAATTTTCCCAGGTGATCACGGCGGAAGTTATTCCCAGCTTTCCTGACCTTCCTCGATGTGTTCCGCAGGCTCGTCGAACGCTGCAGCGGAACAAACCCACGATGTAGTAGAGGCAAGGAAGCGCGCTTGGCTCCCTCCTTCCTTATACTCCGTAGGAGTCTAGTACTTCTTAGACTAGGTTTGTAAATTTTGAGTCCAATAGGCCCGCGCTTGGTACTCTGCAAGCTTTTTCGTAATCCATATCGGCCCGATTAGAGTAACTCTCGGACGCATAGTAAGGGCCCTTAGGTCCTTCTATTACTTAATTGTCCTCGTGAGCAGACATTACGGTTGATTTGCCGGGAGCCTAGTTTGCCCTAGGTTTCACTGTGTTGCTTATTCGCTCGATAGGCTTATCTAATTGCTGAGGGCTTCGCCCTGCTTATGAACGAACTGGGGATATCGCACAAAATTTTTGATCTTTTTTATTTTTTTGTCCCCTGAGGACAGTAAGTACATCGACAATATGCAGATGTGTTGCGGGAGTATCTTGTGTGGAATGTGGGGATTCCGATGTAAGGTGTAAACTTTCAAAAGCTTCTGGAAAGAATCTCCGTCTTCAGAAGGCCGTCTTTCGTTCAATGTGGAAATATCAGCCACGTACGAAGTTAAAATAATAATAATAATAATAATAATTAAATTAAAAAAAATTAAGAAAAAAATTAAGAAAAAATAAGAAAAAATTTTCGGGTTTCCAATAACCATCCCACATGTAAAGCTTTTCAATCGACATCAGTGGCGCTCTTGAACGCAGCCACCAGCCATGGCAAACGTCATTGGGGGGATAATTTTCGTAGTAATATTATTGTCCAATTTCCGTCGGGTGTCTTCCGTTCTACTAGTTCTAAGCCGCTTATTGGCTGGCAGGATCTCATAGGTTGCAGGACCAATGAGAGATGACTGCCCCCAACCGGAGCGAAATGGAGAAACACAATACGATCCTACTTAGACCCACTCATTAAAAAAAAAAAAAAAAAAAAGTAGCCAGGGACTGTACTCCGTACGGGGTAGACAATGAATTCACGCCTAGGCAGTCATGTCTTTGACGTGACATGGGATCTCCATGTTCCTTACCCGCCACATGGCTGGCCTATTGGTCGAAAATCCGAGAACCCCTCAGGGATATCGTAAGTTGTGTCTATCAATTCTACTGTTTAGCGTTAGGCCTAGGTTACTAGGTAATTGTAACGGGAGTAAACTTGAAAGGTGCAATCCGGATGAATCCGAATTGTAGATTCAGATTTGGGCGACCTTTTACCCGAATTGGGAATGTGTTGGCCCAGACTCGACAGGCACACACTTACAGCAATACCAAATATCACCCTTGATGAAAGACACTAGCAGTTAGCCATATTGGAGCAAAGCGAACCGGTTCGCTAGTTGATCAGATGTACCAGGTACATCGCGTATGAAATCGGAATGACAAACTTCAAAGCCAGCAGTAAAAAAAAAAAAAAAGAAAGAAAGAAAGAAAGAAAGAAAAGAAAGAAAAAAAGAAAATATACCACAGGCTCAAGGCTGAACGGTAGAAATACAAAAAGCAAAAAAGATGGAGACGCGGGGAATCGAACCCCGGACCACTCCCATGCTAAGGGAGTATTATACCACTAAACCACATCCCCAATTAGATATTACGAGCATCAATATCTATTTTTATATACAAAACCTATTCACTAGCAAATTGAAGCCTATCTATCGTCTCGTACCTCATACTTGAAAAGGATCTATTTAAATCTATCGAACTGAATAGGCATTCCTGATTACTTGTAAACATAATTCTAAGCACATATAGTCGGCAGAATTACCTTCATCCCTTTCCCCCATTCCTTCTCTTTCCACTATAGTAACATATAAGTCAATCGAGAACTTTGTTATGGGAGCCAAGGTAGATACATCCTTTTTTTATATATGTTGGACTGGACGACCAGACCTCCACAATATTCTCATAGCCAATCTGATAATAACATCTCCGTCATGTATAAGGTGCGTCGGATATTTCCTGTAATCAAGATTGGAACCTGTTTAGCATTCCCTGTATTTGTTCTATAGACTTATTTCCTTTGTAGAGACTACACCGGGTGCGAGTATTAGCCGGGACCTCTACGCTTGCCGATCCGGGTGCTAGTTTACGCTGGGCCTCAGTTTTAGTCACACGGCCAATTTGGATAAACACTGTTTGCATGGGTGTTGAAATGGCCAGGACTACCAGATTCTGCGTAAGGTCAATCGTCTGAGTTAGTTGCAGACCCTGTTAGGCTTCTCCGACGGCTGGCTCATGGTCCATTCCCTTTCCTTATTTTCCCTGTCCCCCTGCCTCCTTTACTCAGACATGCCCCTCATTCCGCAGCCGTCCTTCATGATTGCTGGGTTTCCTTATTCTAGGACAATGCATCTGTTTCAGTCCTGGAATATGTCTCGGTGGGGATTGTAGGACCATCACTAAGTGGGTCTATACTGTGGGAACAATAGTGGAGAAAGTAATCTGAATCTAAGATACAGGCTTTGGCACGGTATGATCGATATGAGTCGAGGAGATCGCCAGAATGTGTATCTTAGCGTCGATCACCCGCGACAGGTTTATCCTAACGGGTTATAGAAAGGGCGACGAAGAGCTAATGAATCGAGCCCCCAAATAGGACCTAAGTGGATGAGGTACCTCTGAGGTCGGACGGTCATGTCTGAATGATTCAAACGGGTTATCAAAAGAGCGACTAGAATTTAATGGATCGAGACCTTGACATGACCCGAACGACTCGAGATTCTAGCGCTCCAATCTCGTCCTAGTCTAATAGGCTCCGCTTGAGATTGTATAACCGCCCTTTCTTCAAATTCAGGGAGAGCTCAGCCTCAGCCGATGCCCTCTCCAACTCAGCACCAGTCCAGCCCACTAAGTCATAGTTCTGCCCCAACCCTATCTACAATATGATGAGCGGTATCCTATATACTATAATGATTCCTTTCGCATGATATCATAGGGCTCCTTTGCCAGTGTTCCTGCTATTTCCTCCATTATCGCGGGTTCCCTCGCCCCCCTCTCGGGTGGGAATATCGACTGACTCGGCCTGCTGTCTATCGGAATCAGACTCTGATTCATTTCGGTGGTGTGCCTCTTCAGGCTCGACTTACTAAGAAATCTCCCTTGTTTGAGTTTCAATATGATTAATCCATGAAGTTGTCACCGGGTTCGGATTAATGATTCGGATAGCTTGGAGGTGAGTTCAGACGATACCTGGCTAATCCTGTAACCGACTTGAACCTGAGACTTTTATCCTCGTCGAACTTGGTTGATGGCGAGGTGTCATCACTCAGGGTAGTCCCTCTTGTCTGAATTTACTTTCATTGTACCCATCGAGAGAAATAGACGTACCCCAAAACTTGAAATTAGGAGAAGGAAAGAAGTATAAAAGTATATAACATAATAAGGGGACTGGTATTACGGCGGATGAGGGAGAATGGGTATGGGATAAGGAAAAAAAGTGAGTTGGAAAGAGAGAGAGTGAGGTTAGTATAACATAGAAGGAAGGAAAAGTAAGCTCGAGGTGGAGGGATAAGTATATGGTTGGGTATGCTCTTCTACGCTTACATTTTAAATAAGTAACAAAAACAGGGCGAATTAATCAATGGATTGATCGCCTGTTCAACAGCTACCAGATCTCCGTCACCCACTCATTATGGGCTACTCTGTAACCTTCCTTCCCGTTTCAGGCCATCCTTTTAGTCGATAAGTTGGAAGGTAACCACACTTGGTCTACCATAGAAGTCCGACATACATACACACATACATATATACATAAACCAATGTGTGTCAGTTTTGTCAAAACACTTTGTTACTCCAAAGAAAAGCCGCACCTTTATGTTACATTTGAGCTCGTCTTGGCTTCGCCTTATGGCTACTAGACTCCAGCACCACGGTGAGGTGTGAGCTCATTGCTGGAGGCCCGGCCCGAAGACCTGGACACCCGCTGTCACTAGGACTTTGGCAGGGGACGCGTTACCTCTAAAGGTCGCTGTCATCACCGTCCTGGAGTGCGGGCAATTCCTGACCACCACAGCACTCAACGTCCATGGCGGTATCCTCCATAGGAGGAGGCAGGGGCGGCTCATCGGTTCCCTGGGGCAGGACCTGAGGTCCCTCACCCCGCTGCTGTTGTTGCTCCTCCCGGTGCGGGCGCGGCTGCTGGACCATTCGGAAGGGAAGATCCACTTCCTGGCCGGGCGCCTGCAAGGCGAGAGCTGGAAGCTGCTCGGCCTTCCGCTGCTGCTGCTGCTGCTCCTGCGCAGCCTGTCGACGCTGCCTACGCTCTTGAGGAGGCGGACGTCGGCCCCGTTTGTTCTTACGTCTTTGTCCTCCTTCCTGGGCTGCCGGAGCAACCTGGTTGTTGGACGCAGATGAAGCAGTGCGTTTAGCCTGTAAGCGTTCCTGACGCGCACCGGTCTAACGAAATGCTAGCTGGCTCTTATGGACTTTCTGCGACGTGCCAAAGGTGTTACTCACCAAAGCATTGATGGCGTTCACCAACGTCCATTCAAAATGCTCCTCCGATTCGTGGTCGGATTCACCGCAGGTACGACACTTTTCTTTCTGCCGCTTTCTCTTGCCGGCACGTTCCTGCTGTCTATCAGGAGGGGTTTCCTGCGGCTTCCGTACCGACGCTTACCGGGGGGCTTACCACCACCACCGGCAACCTGAGGGGCAGGAGGGGCCACAAGGTTATCCGCCATGACGGACGCAAAAAGAGGAGGGAGAAGTAGAGGGAAAGGGTATCTGAAATACGCCTAAGAGAAAAGGTAACCGCTTGTTAACGAGTAGTAAGCTCGTGTGGTCGTCGATAAAAAATGGATGTGACGGGTGAGGAGGGAAGGAGAAGAGGAGAAAGGGAAGAAACGAAACAAGAGAAAGAAGACACAGGGAGAGAGAGGGTGTTTCTGCCTGGCAACACAACGCAACGCGTCCAGCTACACGCGCCTTATCACGTCATGAAACAACAGGGTGATATTCACTGATATGGGCCTCTGCATGTTTAGGTATTGCACTCTGTGGATATGAGATTTCATCAATATGCGGCTTCATCTTCCTAGCCTCGATGATAATACCATCGATCTAGTGTACCGAATGGATTCTATTCCACATCATCCTCCTCTGCCTTGCTTCATGAGTTCCTCTATAGATCGCATACTTGCTTCATTATCCACTGTGATATCGGTTGTGCACAGTTCATATTTGGAGTAACTTCGACCTTTACTTGGCTATCTACTACTTGGTTGACAGGACTGGGGTGATGATCAGTTATAGATTGGCATGTACATCTTTTGTAACCATTGAGGTTATTGAAGCTGATTGTTATCTGGGTCAAGAAATACAAGTTTTATTCTAACCATAGATTTATGACAAGCAAGGCAGCCTTGAGGGGAAAGGTAATGGAAACGGAGCATATAGAGTTTCCCGTCTAACGCCCTAAGCGGCTTCAGAGTACTGCAGATCCGCAGTTATACGACGCTAAGTCCTGGCAAACGCCATCCAATACAGAGTCATCGAGAAAAGCTAACGACTCTGGCATTATACTCAGAATCCACTTGGTAGCTAAATGCGGGAAGATTGTGGGAAGCTTGATAACATGGCAGGAATGATTGCAAGATAGGATAGCAGGAGGATTTCCCAGTCCCTAGCGCTGATGCTGATCAGGAAGATCTGCAAATGCAGCTGAAGTTGGTGGATGGTATGAGTCGTCGAAGGGCAATTGGGGAGCGCACAATTCCGGCAGCTTAGTAGGACTCTTGACAACCTGACCTGTGGCACTTGCATTGAGACTACCAGAAATATATCCTATGTCACTACATTTAGCATGGAGCCCATAACCATTGCCTCCTGGTCAAGGCCTTCCCCAGGTATCAGGGTATATGTCGCCCTCACAGTCCTGGCACACCACTGGGCGCGCTAGGCTGTTCATGAACTGCATGAGGTGTCTTCTACGCACCAAGGACACCATAATGGGACAAATAGATTTGTGTCATTCGTGCTCTCGGGCAGAGCATCCGTCGGCATGCCATGGTTTTCACTGTACCTAGAACGGGCAGCCTTTTCTTAGGCTGCAATCAACCAAATTTTGGGAGAGGTAGGAAACCAACATCACTTTGATGACATAAGTACAGTCCTGGCTAGTCTTTAAAGCACTTGGTGAACTTTTCTCTACCCCCCGCCCCCGGTGGTGGATGTACTAGGGCGACTGTGGAGAAGTTAAATATGGTTCTATAAACTGCTGCATTTAAGGCTTAGTCTTTCAGAGGGCTTGGCGCTTTCTCTTGCTTGGTCATTTTTGGCTTGTCTGGGGCTGCCTTTTCTGTTCTACATGAACACCGTGCCTGGTGGATAACGTCTCGCCAGCCTCAAGGAATTTGGTCACAACAGCGATCCTATGAGGCGGGCATTCTGGCAAAACCAGAGATGCACAATGCCGGAAGGGGCCTTATGCACCTATCAGTGGCCCACTGGATTGAGGTACAACTTTCTTCTACTCCTTGAGGAACTGTTTCCTTACTGCTTGGATCACAGCTGCTGGGAGGGCTTGTGGGGTCTGGGGGACGACACTAGGATTTAGAAGCAAGGACCCAGCACTAGTAACTGAATCGATCCCTACATTGACATTCATCGTTATTTCCAAGGTTCCCTCAACCAAGTTTTGCTGGCTCAACATAAGTCTGACTCCCCTTTGGCTGATTTTGTAATGGTATAGTGGTGTAAAAAAAAATCCATAACTAGTTCTGCCAAGACATTTCGTGATATGAAACAGCAAAAACAAAAACATACAACAGGAGGGATTCGCTGGTGGTCACCCACCCAACTACTAACCTCCCGGCGTGTGGCTTAAGTACGGCTGAGCGGACGGGAAGCCCTGTTCTCCACACCCTATGGTCGTATGTACCAGCTTACAACTTGCCGGGGATTATATACAGCTTTTATCATGTACGATTATGTTTAGTAGGTATCTATGTAAATAAACCTTTCACCCTTCTGATCTATCAGCCCGTCATATTTCAACAGTGATACAATAATAGCTTTAGTGAATAATATGTTCCTAAAAGTTTGACATTCCATTGGTTCTGCCGCATGTTGAATTTTTGGATGTCCATAATATTATCAGTGGTTGCGATATAGCTAGTATAAAAGTGGCAATATATATCTTCGCAGTGTTGAAAGTACTGCTGGGAAATAGGCCAACCCGGTCATGGCACAAATGTCGCCATTAATTTAGTAATTTTTTCTATACTCTCTCAGTATTTTAACATTGGTCAGTATTGGGATAGTAGATAATATTCCAGTACTATATATCAGGAAATCTGTACCTAGTATGGCAATAGACTATCTACTACAGTAAAAATAATATAGTCGGGAGACCAAGACGGCCATAGAACTGTATGGTACGGCAGCCAGTGCTTGCAGTCAGATCTATATATACAAGCAATAGACTAAGCTACAAGATTCTCTCGAAGAGTAATGACTTCCTCTCTGGATCGCCTTCCAGTAGCCGAGAAACCCTCTAGGGATATATATAAAGCCTAAGCAGTTCCCGGCAAAAGTATTGGCCGAATCCGCGTATCTACGTGTCACCCACGTGCCTACCTTTTTTTTTTTTTTTTTTTGTTTTATTCAATTATCAAGAAAACCACGAACTGCTGCTCGTATAGCTTGTATCCATCCTTTCTCATGAACCTATGGGATTGCGTGTTAGCATGGCCTGCTCTCATCACTAGGACAAAGAGTGTACAGCAGCTTACTCTAATATACGAGCTAGCTGACGTCTGATGCTGTGTAGCTTCCTGTCTGATAGTTCATCGCGAATCTCATCGACATCCTCCCCGGGAACAGTACTCATGAAGAGAAAGAAGACAGTCCCTCCATCAAGTGGCCATCCGGTACCTTGAACCTGTCCCCAGTGGGCCACATACTTCGGTCCATAACCAGCATTACCAAAACGCTCTGCAGCATGCACCTCACAGGAGAAAAGGTCTATAGCGATCTTCTTTTCCTCCTCGGGGTCATCAAAGTCGAAGTATTTCAGTTTAACTCGTAACGAATCTTCACCATATGGGACTCCGCTGTCTTGGTGTTCTCTGCGAGGGCAAGAACATGTTGCTGGCCCATTCTATCATCAAGGACTTCTGTTAACTGCTCCTGGACTTTGACTTCCTTGTCATCGAATGTGATGACCGTACCGGCACAGTCAAAATCCCAGATTTCCTCATCCATGGTGCGAGTACGAAGATGTCGGTAAGTGGGTATATGGAATATTGCTAAATGAGGGGTGGGTGGATACGGAGCGGATGTATGAACAGAAAATACCGTGGGAAGAAATATAGTGGATAAATGGTATGGTGTGAACAGTGAATAGGTAGAACAAGGGAGTTTCAATTCTCCTTTCTGCCTACTGTGCGGCGACTAATGTCAGTAGGCAACAACTACATCATATTCGCCTCAGACTCTACACCCCGATGATAATTCTACAATGCTACCCGTGTAGTTCAACAGGACATGAATAATGAATAACTGAAAAGCCCTCTATGCAGTGCTTCCCAACGCTATCCAATAATTTTCATCAATACCCAAATTTCGTCTACTCATAATGATAAGACGGATTTTCGGATCGAATGGAGAAACTTGTCCTCTTATATGCACTATTTACTGCCAGACTTCATTGCTAGTCCATGTCGAGGAATGTAGGCTCTTGAAAGCAAGACAAAGCAGCGAGTATATGGCATTCTATTGACTAGATATCATTGAATAGCTCTCCCCATTCCCCTTCTCATGAAGGCTTTCCGGTTGTATAAATTGCCACCTGGTTCTAGACTTCCGTAATACAATATCATTTACTACTACCGTACCGTAAAGCTTATCACCTGATCCTCGCCTAGCGTCCCCCAGCGTTTTACAGCGTCTTACAGCGTCTTACAGCGTCTTACAGCATTTTACAGCTTACTCTCACCTTTATCTACCTGCTAAACTGCGACATAAAAATCGGATCAATGGCCTCTGCTGCTGTTCCTCCTTCTGCTGCTCCTGAGTTCGCATCTGAGGAGAGGTCCCTCCTCATACAACGATTTAGCAAGGCAGTCGGTCTGAACTACGTCGATTCTGCCTCACATGCCATGTTATGGCTATCAGATCTCGATTTTCTCCGGAAGAGGGTTGAAATAATAGAGTCGGCTGAGGAAATACGACCAATGGCTAAAGCTAGCTTGAACAACGTCCAGCCTTCTAAGGATGCTATCAAGGCATGGCTGGCTCGTAGATCGAAAGGAAACGACTCAACAAGAATAGAAGAACAACCTGGCGAACCCACCGAACCCACACCTACACATGTGGCGTCCCAGAAAACGTCACGCAAACGAAAGTCAAAGGGAAAGTCTAGCTCCCCAAGAAAACTTCCTCGGCCGACGATGTCTGGTTCTCGATCGAAGCGGCTCAAATCTGCGAAGGACACGGCCAGCGAGAGAGATAATGGGTGCTGTGTCATTACCAAGATGGGTGAACCCATCCAAATATGCCACATCTACCCGTACCCGTTGGGAGCTAAGGCCAAAAGTGAACGGGAGAGCTTTTGGTCTCATCTGGAAATTTTCTGGCCTCCCGAGACGATCGCCAGGTGGAAGAAGGATATCATGGGTCCAGACAACACAGAGGTACCTCAAAACCTACTATGCCTTTCGACTATTGTGCACGAGCTCTGGGGCTCGGCACGCCTTGCCTTTGAACCCATTGAGATGTCTGAGGACAAGACATCCCTTACAATGCGGTTCTGGTGGCTACCTCGTCGAGAGCCCTTCAAGCAGGTACCCCTAGTGGTGGCTCCCTCCCTTCCATCCGATTTGAAGGCAAGTTCCCTCAATGCCAAGTTATGGAATTGCGATACGGATGAGCCCATCTATTCCGGCCAACTCGTGACAATGACGACCGATGATCCGGAGGCCAGGCCCCTCCCATCCTTTGATCTATTGCACATCCAATGGGTCTTGAATCGGGTCGCCGCCATGTGTGGCGCGACAGATGTTACGGATGAGGAACTCGAGGACTATTTTGAAGGCTTTTCGGAATCTGAAGACATGGTGCGAGAGACTTCAGACGAAAGCTATGACGACGACGACGAGGACGATGATGATGATGCTTTCGGTTAACTTGACGATAAACTCCACCCGCGCTTCGAGCTCATGCTGGTCGCGCTGCTGGTGTCTACATCTGACCATCCAACAATCTAGTTATTGTAACAGCTATAGGCTTTTCACATCGTGATCTTAAGATACGACGACCAAAGCGATATCACAAATACGTAGAGACTGGATTCCAGTTAGTTTAGTAGAGCAGCTTCTTTGTGAAGTCTTGCCAGTGTGGTATAAGTTAAGAAACGGTACCTCCCAGGTATACTTCACAGAAAAGGATAAACCGTCTTGAGTAGCTAAACTAACACAACTATATTTGTCGTCTCCATATTTGCCCTAGTTTCATAAACACTATGCACGCTCATAGATATGTAGAATAATGCTTACCGGATGCTTTTCGACTTTTGTTGCACAAATCCTGATCTTGCTCAGTATATCATCTAGGGATGGTCATGGGTGACGTCTGGTTCGATCTGCCCTTTCTATTTGCCGCGGGATTTTACGAATTTGCTCTGATCGCTGTATCTGCGGTCAGAGTGCCTTATAGGATTACTTGATAGGAATGGGTAATACTGGATAATGTGGCTGTCGGAAGGTTGGGTGAGCAATTTTCCCTTGGTCAAAATTTGCCTACTTAGCATCACAGGGCCTTCTACATCGACATCACGAACATAGCTCTTTGCGGGGATAGTGTCCAACCAGAAAGCTTGATTTAGAAAGACTATTCTAGGGGGCAAATACAACTTGAGCAACATGTCCTAATTGGCGAGACCAGAGGACTTCCAATCTACCATACCTAGTGTTTAAGAGCCTGTCGACCGATCGTTGAGACCACATGCCAACGCAACGAGCATCTCGCCGAGCACATAGGGTCATGGGGTATTAGGATGGCATTAGATTGGCCATGTAGGAGAGGAATTGGCGCAAGATCGGCGCTTATTATACGCTCGAAGTCAATCGAGGAGTCAGTGGCAAACCAACCGTGAGATTCGCCACAAGTCTATGACCCGAACATGATGCTATCGCGAAGCTTCCTCGATATATGGAAGCACCAAGAAGCCCATCGTATAGTCCTGGATTCCTCATATATAGCCTTACTGCCCCAGTTGATATGAAATGGTTTTTTTTTAAGTTCACAATCAAGTGCTTTGTTGTATATTTCTCCTTTCTTTGTCAATTCGTGCCAAGTTCTTATTCATTTCGTCCTTCCTAAGTATCTACAATGTCTTGCCACCAGACTCCTTCGTATACATGCATGCATGTTCTTTTACGATAGCCGGCGTTTATTTCTTTCTTTATCCTTTCAATACGTTCATGTACAAGTCCTGTTCACACAAAACCACCTGAGCATGTCGCGAGCTATAGCCGACTGGCGATGACCGGATCCTCGTGTGGTCCTGCGTCTCGCAAATTGGCCGCCGGCAGCTGCGGCATTGGCAACTTCAACTCGGTCGCGATGGTCCTGGCAGCCCAAAGGCCAGTGACGAATGCCAGCGCGAGACCACCAGCGTACCCAAGATTGCTAAATCCTCCACCGTCGACACCTGCGATCAATAAACCCGGGATAGGTGTCTTGTCGGGAGTAAGGGCACGGCCCTTGGTGTCGATAAGAACGCCGCCGTAGGTGAACGTAATTCTATCAGAGTCAATACTTTAGCCAGGAGTGATTCACTTGTTGGGGGCAACGTACGATGGTTGGACTTCCATGACGAAGAATGGTCCTTCACCTTCCACCAAAGGAACAGGAGGCTTTCCAGCGTTTCCGACCGGCGCGTCGAGCGTAGATGTCTTATCGCCCAGCCGTATGAAGCGATCGTATTGTTCGATTGTTCGGAGGGCTTGCGGGCCATCTACCCCCCACTGATTGAGAATCTCTGCTAACCCGTCTAGGGAGGGAGCACTAGCGACGTTGCATCCGTATCCGCGGGCTTTCTCAAGCCGATCGATTTCTCCCGCGTTGGGAAACGGAGCCGAAATGCAGTGCTGTCTTCTTGTCCGGTCGCTTGAGGGTATATAAGGTCAGTTCTTGGGCTGTAGTGCAGCTGACAGAAGGGAAGAGGTATACTTGAACAAAAGGAATCCACGACGCTTCTCCTGTTTCGCGAGGTATTGGTTCACAATTTCATCACCGGTTGTCTCGTCGGCAAACCTCCGTCCGCTCTCGTTAACCAGCAGGCAATATTTGCTTTCTACGAGTACTTGTCAATGATCAGACGATGAACAACGACTGGGTTCGTACGCACGATATTGTGCCAGCGACAAAAAATCCTTGGGATTGACCTCTTTTGACCGCAGAGGAGCCGCCAGCAAATGGCCATAATATGTATTCATCCCCCGACTCGTCCCTGATCCTACAGCGGTGGCCAGCCTAAATCCATCTCCTACCGATCCTCTATTCGAGCGTACGAAGATATTGTCTCCACCCTGGCCGAGGTGCATAGACGTCAGTTCTGCATTTCCCTGAAAGCCACCGGTGGCAAGGACTACATGCTGAGCCTTGACTTCATAATAGACAGCGCCCGTGCCATCTACTGGCCCACGGCGAATGATCGCCCCGACGATACGAGAACCGGGCACGCCAGGCTGCTCTTGAAGGACTTTGACGACGGCGGTATTGGTGAAGATCTGGGATCCTTTGTTATTATTCTGTATGCGTTGTTGGTGGTGTATGTGGAGATGAGGGATCTTGATGGGAAAACCGATGCCTGTTTCGTTGTCAGCTTGCTGTAAATACTGTCCTGTGCATTAGCCTTATCTATATATAGTTCAATACCGATTGTCATGATTCCATCGAACCGCTTGGCTGTAGGTATACCGTTCTCTCGCATCCATTGTACTGCGGGCAAGTAGTCCTTCATCCATGCAGCTTGAAGGATCGGATCACCATCCGGTACCCACGATCGCAGACTCTTGTAGTTCTTGGGTGCCCAACTAGATGTCATTAGTAGAACATTTTATACTCAAAAGAAGCTTTGTAAACATACAACATCCCCGCAGAGTAGTTTGATGAACCACCGACAACCGCTTGCTTCTCAACCACCAGGACTTTAGCCCCGGACTCGGCGGCGAAGGCAGCGCAGGCCATGCCGGACATGCCACCTCCACACACCAGGACGTCCACTGAGATGGTCTGCATATCTATTAGATGTATTTACTTCCGTTTCATAGAAAACAAAGAACAAGAGAATAACATTGTTTTGGTGCAAGTCAACAGCCCTTTCCTGAATCTGAGATCATATAAGAACTTCCCTCCGGCATCTAAATAAATAGACCGGAGGACCCACACCCGGTGAATTTTCATCGCACTACAACCAATGGAAGGCCCGTCACTCTTTAAAGTGCACACGAGGATATCACCGGCCATGCATTTACTCCAACAGTAAGATATCTCAAATTGCGATGGGAAGAGAGACGTGATCGAGTCACTTGCACAGTTCATGCCAAGAGGCAAAGTGGATCTGACGGAAATTGGAGTAATCCATTCAGATTTCACACAATCCCCGCCTCCAGACATCTCCAGAGCGAGAAAGACCGTCGACCTAGCATCCAAGCTTGTCACTATCCCAAGAGCCCACGAAGGCCACTCGCCTTGATCTGAGACCATGGAAATTAGCCGATTCACTTCAGTATCGCCTTATCATTACTGACCTATAATTGATCTGACGTAATCATGGCTAGTCGACCGGTGACGAGACAACAGAGTCGCCGGCCACCCTCCACAGTGGCCTGCGAGGCATGTCGCAAATTAAAGATGAGATGTGTTCGTACAAGTCAAGCGGAAAGCTCTATCCAGCCATGCGATCGGTGCAGACGGAATGGTCGCCCATGTAGCATTCCTCCTTCACGGCCCTTGGGGCGCCGACCAGGAGCGGTTGGCCGCTATCATGGACTGGAGAAGGCTTGTCAGCAGATGAAAGCACATCTAAAGATGAAAAGTACCCCGAGAAATGGTGTACAGGAGGTTGATGATATACAGAATGCAGAGAAAGAAGTGTTCGATCTTCTACTCTTGAAAATGAAAAGCAACGAGGAGCAGTCTCGCCGACCAATCGATGGGAAAGCCACCATGATCCAGGCTGCGGCTAGCAATCCAGTCGTGACAGAGCCCACTGGTATTAAACAAGCTGGGATGGCCTCGTATGTCAGTCATGATCCCGTTAGCAATCCTCTAGCACTGCTTGTAGCTGCGTCCGGGGCCATCCAGTCCGAATCGATATCGGACACTCCGATATCCAACGTTGAATCGACACATGAAGGACCATCACCGTCTTTGACGAGTATCGGTGACAAGTTTCTTGATCGGTCAGGATACATGCCACTAGGCCTACAATTGAGCCGAGATTCGTTACAAAGTGGACTACACGCCCTGTTTGCGGCCCCAACAAGTAATCACAGATGCACTGATTATTTTTGCCCTCCTGATGATGGTCCGCCGCGAGATGTTGGCCCGGACCTGGACCCTGTTGAGTTAGGGCTAGTTTCAATGGAGGAGGCTCACTACTTATTTCCCATGTATGCACGTCATATAGCGCTAGAAATATCGGCTCTCCGTTGCTAATCTTCAATAGTTACTTCATGCGCTTACATCCAGTCAATGGTATCCTCGACTCCAAACTACATACCCCGGAGTATGTGCGTTCTCAGTCAGCACTGCTGTTTACCTGGATTCTCGCTCTCACAGCACAATTCGACCATGGGTCAGCAGCCATTGCCAAGCGGCTACGTCTACATGGCGAGAAATTGTCCCAACATGTTCATACGTCCGGGTTCAAGTCAGTGGAAATCGTTCAGGGGTACTACATTTCACTTTTGTCGGCCACGCCGGCGAGAACGTTGTCGGAAGAACGATCCTGGTTGTATACCATGTATGCATTTGGCGTAGCGGCGGAACTGGGGCTGGATCAACCGTCCTATACACATACCATCGATGGCATCTATACCCCCAAGTGCACACCGCGCGCATCCACTGACCATGAGATCGAAGACCAAACACACCTCGAACGCCTAGTTCGCAATCGGGAGAGAACGTGGCTGCGTATCCTGCTCTGGGAGCGAGCGAACAGCAGTGCCTCTGGCCGAATGAATGCCATCCCCGAAACCAACCTCACCAGCAATATTGAACGCTGGTGGATGCATCCGCTTGCCGACTCGACGGACAAACACACGGTTGCTTTTATCCTCCTCCGTCGCCACCTGGCGTTTTTACACGCGGAACTACAGCGACAGAAAGTAATGACACAGGCCAATCCCCATTGGGTGCGCGATCTCATCGATGCCACTTTAGAACCGTGGCGGGAGACATGGGTCTATACCATTGCCCCATCTTCAGAACCACTACCAGATGTGCACCTCCATCACGTGTACCTCCATAATAGATTATGGACATTGTCATTCGCCCTCCAGGCATCTATCAGTAATAACCATGATCCCAACGCTATCCGCCAGGACTGTTTTCAGGCTGCGGTGCATTGTTGCGAAGTCGCCGTGAGCAACCTTGAACAGGTCGGGGAGCCGCTATACTGTATGCTTGCTCCAACCTGGGCAATGATCTCCTACGCAGCTATTCTCGCCCTAAAGCTCCTCCCCTGTCTATATGATCCACGGTCGGGGTGCGAGATAGAACTTCTCGCATTACTGGCACAGGTTGCACTCCAGCTCGAACGCGCCGGGACGACACCATCACACCGATTTGGAATTGCTGCGATATTAGGCCGGCAATTATTGATGATCCTACGCACGCGAGCAGCCAGACTGGCTCCCGCAGCTCCTATAGCAGATACCTACCACGATGATAATGATAGCGGCGCACGAAGCTGCTCACATCCTCTCCTAGGCGAACGCTCGTTAAGCACTAATGACGCAACGGGTGTGTCGCCGGATACACATAACCAGGATCGGCTGGTATCACCGTATGACCCCTGCTTAGCGACCGCTTCCATGGGGATGGATAGCGACTTCATGGACGATGGATTCGCGGATTTATTTCGCGAGATATTCGGCCCCAGCTTTGGTGAGGTTTTTTAGCCATACATGCAAGTTCTTCTAAGTCGTACGCGGAACTAACTACACCGCAATCAACCGATATACCGAACAATATATGTTCTCTTCTCGGCGGTCCATTGGCTCCTATGGAGTAAGTAGAAGTAGGCACCTCTGCATATGGTTGGTCTACCGGTGGATGTTGTTCAAAGATGATCTGTATCAGGCCACGTAGAAGTGTAGCTAGACCGAGGTGAACTTGCATTGCGACGCTGTTCAGCACTGCGGTGTAGCAATCCCTGTATGAATTTTGTCTATGTCTGATGAACTGAGTACGGAAAAGCTCGGCTTTCCCGCTTCCAGAGGGTCTTTTTGAATTATTTATTTTGTTTAAATTTTTAATTTTTATATTTTTTAGTTTATGTATATATATATTGACAGCAACGAGACGTAGACCAAAAAGAAGCAAGTGGGCCATGAACGTCACGGGGACCCTGAGAATGACCTATGGTAGCAACGGTCTCATGTATTGAACGACTCTCTCTATCTAAATTATTATCCCAACAGGGAAAGTGTTAAATGTGGTAGCAAGCTCGACTGGGTCAAAAATGTACGAAAGCCATGACACAATGGAAACCACGATATTCTTCGCTAAATTGCTCCAACTAGACTCATCTCAAGTCAAGTCAAATCTACCATACAAAATGCTGTATGATCTCACCCCGCCAAGGCCGTTCACACGGGGATTTCAGTACACTTTCCCCTGAGACCTGAGCACGAGGTGTCATCCGCCTGGGTGTTTACGACTGCAACGCATGCTCTCTTATTGCCAGTGTCGCCGGTAACACCCTGGCTGCCGCACTTTTTGTCGTTGGCGCTTAGGTACTCACTGCAGTAGTCACCCACCTCCGACGTTGTCATGGTCACTCCCGCGGTGCCAATAAACGCGACTATTGTGTGGCATTTAACCGGTTGGCCAGTAGACCGTTCACTGCACACCGTGTTGTCTATCAACGCAGACACGGCAGCGACACCGCCACCGACCAGGGACTTCACGGCGTTACAAATGTGCTTCTGATTGGCCGGGCTGATTTTATCCACCACCGGGTTGTTCTCACAGTTCAACTGGTCCTTCGGGGCTCTTGCGTCGAGGCTAGGGGACGAGACGGAAATGGCGGAGGACCCCTTGCCTTGGGTAACAAAGTCGACTAGCGTGGTATCGAAAATGCCATTGTCGGCGAGATAATCGGACCCATTTTTGCTTGCGAGGTCCGACGTCACAAATACAGACCCAATACTCAAACTGTCTTCGACGGGTTCCGCGAGACGGTTCATGGTCGTTGTATAAATGTCCACGGAGGGAGTATCACTGCTCTGACAGTGCAAGCGAAAAGGTAAAAGGCCATGAGAATGAACATCGTCGTTGAGGGTTCCCGGAGAGCTGAGTGGGTCGGTATATTGAAATGAATGAGTGCAGGATTAACAGCAGACTATACAAAAAATTGGAGAAGCGATGGAGACAAGGAAATTATAAAGTTTTGGGACTTCAATTTTCCAGCCGGATACAGGGCATTATATAGGATGGGTAAGTATATCAGTCGCTATTTTCCAGTCTCCCCTGGAAAAACTTCGGTGCTACATCCCTCTACAACAACTAACAAAGCGGCCACCGACAATCGGATATGATTCGAAGCTGTTGCCATACCTATAAGGCGCGTTGCAGGGGGCCAGCCTGCATCAAACCCTAGTGGAGAGTGCATTACCCTGATATAATCCCAGCATCACGGACTTGTCCGCGCGAGTAGTAGAGAGTAGCCATCGGACAGGAGTGAATCACTTCCAAATCACGATCCTTAATCCTGGACGAGATGGATTCGGAAACCTTTGTTTCTTGTCTATGGTGGGGAATTCAAGTGGGGTCCGTTCCTAGTCTGATCGTAATGCTTTTGCGCGTTTCCAAAGTTGGAATATAGCCTGTCGCCTTCTATCCTGTGCCCTGAATGTGGTTCCGAGATAGTAGGTCCCCCCTTGATCTTCCGATTTATCGCGGAGTTGAATGGATTCCGTGTAGTACCGAAAGGGCCCACCAGGGCGTTCTGACGCGTACCGTTACATCGGCCCGCTGTTCGTGTTCGTTTATGGTGCATCATTTAGAACTGCTACATGGATATTTGCGGTAATACTGGAAGAGCAACTGCCGACTCAATCAATTGAAGTAAAAGAGCACCGCTCTTCTTGTGATCATTCTCCCAAGCATGGGAAAGTACCTGAGAGAGGATAGCCTTGACATAAGCGAGCCAATCTGAATGTAGGGCCGTATTTGAAGATGTAAGTCGGCGATAAGCCAGACTTTCTGGTTTATGGTCCGAGACTGTGACAGGCTCCCCTGCCGACCTCGCAGATTCATTGCATCTTGTTCCAATCGTTTAACGAATGATAATGTGGAGAAAAGAATGATCGACATCATCTGACTTAAGACACTCAAGGCACAAGCTTAGGCATGTAGTGGGTCCAGGCATTTTAGACAGAATAAAAATCGCGCATTACGCCACATGCCTGGCGACCGAGGTGTGTCGACGATATATATACACTCGAGTAATGCCTTGCACTCTGGCTAGCATCTCTAGCTGTTCTCTTCTCCTTTTTTAATCTTGTTGTTCTCTGCGCTTTGGCCTCTTTCAGTCTACCCAGCCAGCATTTTAGATACGCCCACTGGTTTTGTGGCGAAGCTCGGGGCACCAACATGTACCAAAAATCTGTGAAAATCCTCATTGGCGCTTCGTTATTCCTCTTCGCCGCCGTGGAGCTGGAGCAGTACACGTCCCTCTATGATAGATATCCGATGGCGTGTAACATCGTCAATGCCCTGCTATGCGTTGTCCTCTGCATTCAATACAGCATCCATAGGTGATCCGCCGTAATCAGAAAGGTTACAACAGCGCAGATGCATAATATAGCGAATTTGTGATCCTCCACTACATTTCAATTCACCAAGTTTGTGTTTGTGAGTCTTCAGGGAAAGGCCTGTGATGCACCAGATGCCAAGAATGTGAGTATCGTTCTACCCAAACAGAGTCTTCGAGTCCCGAATAACAAGTAATCAGTTTGTCAAAATATCGAGGTTTCTTGACTTGACCCTATCGAAGGTTGTGCCGGTTGGTGAGGTACTGACTGAGTACTGAAGATGGATGGTTCTCATGTTCAATGCGATGATGGAATGTGAGAAACAGGCATGAAGATGTAAATCAGGCACGGACGTACGACTACACTATATGGTTCTTAGTGAAAGATGGAGACCAAATTGTACAGTTAGACCCCTCCAAAACGCGCTGAATCTCGCGATAGATATATGCAGTGGACAACAATTGGGGGGGGGGAGGGGGGACAGAAGCGCTACGCGTAGCTATGGTTTACATCAAGCGACGCACAGAAGTACAATGTTCAAATATTTGGTGCTGACAACCAGCTCGACGCGCATGGCGTTTTCTTGGCTTGACCTCTTCCCAGCTTTAAACGGAGTCTTAAAATGGTACAATTCCGTCTTTCGATATGAAATCTGCTACCAGTAACGAACATAATCGCCGAGTCACGACACAGGCTTGAGGAACAGCAACAACATTGACAAGACGCAGAACGCTAAGAGGAGATCGAAAAAACAAATAGCGATAAGCAATTTTATATGATACTTCAACTGCTGTAGAACTAGCAAACGGCTAAAATTAGTAAGTATGGATGGCACTTCCATATTAAGGATACGTGATCACAGTCCAGATCCAAGTATACATGCTCGAGACAGTGATCCACCAGTGGACTTGACTAACAATTCAATCGATTTAGTGACAGGGGTGTGTTGGAAGGTTAGTAAGAGTAGCGAAGCACTCGGTGGACGTAATTGTACCGGTCCTGCTATACACTTTCTGTCTCTATATATTTATTTTCATTTGTTCGTTGCCGATTGCCTTGTTGTCAAGAGTTGGATTGATGGCGTGTTGCTGCATGGCTCCCAAGGGGGCTGGTTCTTACCTCGACATTACGAATTAGAATAATATAGTTGATTTGACTAGATATCTTGCAGTGATTATGAAGCAATCACGATAGTGAGTAGAATATGTTACCACAGGACTCTAGTAGGATGTTCACGACTGCGCTGGGCCAAACAAAGTCGCCTCTAGCAAGGTTTGATAATAACGCACACACTGTGCAAATCAACGCCGTTGGAAAATGTGTAAAAGAGATTTTACAGCAGGGTTATATATGTGAGTGTGCCACAGCATGTGTCGGTGGGTTATCAGGGTCTCCGGACGACAAGGATAAGGCTATGTATACTATGACAAGCTCCGTGGAGGTTAACAATTCTAACCTATTTGACCATTAAAACCAAAGCTTAACTAGTTAGACTCCTCATCATCACCTTATAGTTAAAAGTACCTTGGATGGAACGAAATGACCAGAGTACTAGTACACGTCCCCGTGGGCCCTTTAAGGAATGGTATTGTCACCTGGATTAAGCCGGCGCTGACAATGGTGATGTTTAAACGGCCGAAAGACGCACTTTCACCGGGTTCTGTGCATTACATAGGTAGCTGGAGACGAGAGTCAAACATACAACAGTTGCCGAAGTTCTGGCGGCGCACGGCCCGCATCTTCGAAACACCCTCAACTCCACAGAAGGCATAAGACGAAGGCATGCAAGAGTTAAGAGCCTAGTTGTGGTAGTCGAAGTCTAGCTTCAGAGAAGCTGGTGTCCACAATGTGCTTCACGCATCATGATCCGTCATATAATCCTTACTGGAGCGAACCGGCCTACAGGGGAACATTAGACTGAGGATAGGATAGTTGCGTTTTAGATTGGTCTGTTTCTTAGCCGATTTATAATAGATAACAGACTGACAGTTGAAGCTACATTGTATTGGCTTTGGCGAATTTTGCTGGTGAATAATGGTTCGGCATAACGCCGTGTCAAGCATTCGGAGAGCACGCGAGTAACAAACGAGAGGAAATAGTCTCCGTTATTGACCACCAACCACATCTTTGTCATGATTAAATTTATTTTAGTAATTTAGCTGTTCAAAAACTCTCAAAGCAGGGCACATCAAAATAGCCATCTGCTCTACATTCCCACTAATGCCGCATTTCTTCAAAGTTGGACATTTAGCTACACTTAGGTAGTTGGCCGGACGGCCGTTCGGGTGATTTCCGCCAGTGACAAGGCTTGGTGTGTCTTACTTGGTTTAGAGTCCCATTGGTGCGACAGTAGCATGAAAGATGTAAATTAAACGGAGTGTTTAAATAGTTTCACCGAGCCAGTTTCCGTCCAATCCTTAAGGATTGTGGAGTATGTGGTCCGGGCCCACCGGTTTGACTATAAGACTTGGCGCGCGAGTCTAAAGGAATGGAGGATCCACTGTTGGACTGTATTCGGAGTACACATGCCTTAGGAGTCAGTTCATCATAGTGGTAGCTGTCACAGTAGGGAGACTAGATTGATGGAGATCATAATTATATTATTAATGATCAGATCTGGAGGCGTATACCAAACAAAAAGAGGGGGGTGTGGGGATGAAACAGTAAGTTTAGAAGAAAAATAGAATTTACGAGTTTGTTCCTATCCTCAGACACTCTCCTTGACGCTAACATCGGTAGTGACCTGAATGCCTGCATGTATGATGCGTTCCTGTGACCCATTGTGGCTGGTTTCCACATCAGCCGTGCTGTGTCCTGTCACCGGTTTCAGCTTGATACTATTACGCCCCCCAGTCGACAGCCCATTGTATGTCCGACGGGTCGAACTGCCGTACATTTTCGACGGACCAACGGTGTCATCCTTGCTGGCGAGACCGAGAAGGCGCTGTAACTTCGGGAAGCGGTAGCCGATAAATGTTTTGAAGGAGGGTATACACGCAATAAAAATGGCGACCGCGACTTCAACGCAAGACCAGTTCATGGCGTCGACCAGCACCCCTATGGGCAGAGACATCAGTACGGAGCTAAGGAAGATGAGGAGGTAAGAATTGGTGGTAACGCACATGTGTGATCCTCAGAGAAGGGGTTGAAATAGGTGACTCGGATGATACTAGTCACGCACACACTGGTATCCATATCAGTTAGCTCTGCTGCTTCGTCTTACGTAGAGGAGGGTAAAATACAGGAGGCCGAGACTGAACATAACCACCAAGCCGACTCGCTTGCCCATCGCCATTTTCAGCCGCATGAGCTTGGGAATAGGCATCGCAAAGAGGGCCACGTCCGTGGCTAATTTAATGCCAAAATTGGCGTAGTAAAAGAGCGTCATGTCCACACAGTTGCCTTCCACGAGGCCGGTGGCATCCCACGCCTTGTGAACGGGCCTGCATTGGAAGATCACAACAAGGACTTCTTCAATTGTTTCGGCGACTAGAATGGCTAACAACCACCAGCATGCCATACGAAACTTCTTCCCCGGGAATATGTGTAGGTAGAGCAGGCAGAAGGAGATCTTGATTGTGCCCAGGGCGAGGACGTAGGCGAGCATGGTGACAAAGTCGAGCTGTGAAATATCGGTCACAATCAGTGGATGGCCGTACAGTTGTGTATGACCAGATAGTGCCCGTACCTTAAGGAACATGGCCCTGTCGCTGAAACTTTGTACCGTGCCAATGTGCTTGCCGAACCCATATTTGGTCACTGAATACGCGAACTGTTAGAACACCCTATATCGTGACCAGTCTGTCGCAAAGCCACTTACTCAACATACAAGCAAGGCAGAGAACGAACGTAAAGACCTAGATTAGGCAGCGGTGCATTAGTAAATGAAGAAGACAGTAGGCGTGCCAGTCGGCGGAGAAGTAGGCCTACCCAACTAGTCACACATAGTAAATCGTCGAAATTGATCCCCGTGAGATATCGAATACGGACGAAAAGACGCACTAGGAGCCCGGCGGTTGCGATAACGAGGAGCGCTGTATTACAGAAGATGATCTCGGGAATCCGGGATTGAGCCAGATAGGCTATTCTCTCCGGCGAAAGTGATCTTTCCCAGACCTCTGCCATGGGAAAGACCAGCTAGCCGTCTGCAAAGAACGAGGCCGAAAAGATGTTCCAACGAAGACAGAGACAGTCACATTTGTAGGAGCCTCAAGATGTACAGGAGAGAGGGACGGACATTCCGCACACATGCCCCTATGGTATGTAAAGCCTGGGCTTGTTTCATCTGCCAACAAGGGGGTGGGGACGATGAGCAATCGATTCGTCAACACGTGGAATCCCCTACGTACCGGTAGATAGTGCCGCAAACTTGCAGCCCCGTATCGAGATTACGGGGTAAAACAGTACGCTGATGCAGATCCAGACCGCGCCATTCAGCGGACGATTTCTACGCCCCACTCGCTGATCCACGGGCTAATATCGCGCAGGCACCAGGTGGAGAGCGCCCAAGGTAAAGCCCATGGCAGCATACCACCATCTCTGTTGACATAAAAACGGTTTGTCTCCTAGGTGCGAATTGAAGATTTTTTTTACTTCGTTTGAATGTGTCGATTCTCTTCTTTGTTCCTTGTTATAAGATTATCGTTGTACAGTCCTCTCCATATTCATATATGGATTAACTGTACTGAAGGTTATATTAGCTTGGCTCATCCCCCTTATTGTCCTCCATACCCGTCACCAGCTAAGGTGTATCCACCAACAGACTTGGGATGATTGCATATACTCGGACAGGTTAGACATATTGTATACAGATGATGCACAGATCTACCTCACACCCTGAGCCTCCAAGCCCCCATTTAATTGTCTCCCCATTCGACAACGATAAATAGGGGCATCCAGTCCAATCACATGTATTCTTGGAGACTAATCTCAGTGCTCACTCGAAGGGCCAGTGGAAAATGGAGGCTGGAAGCCAGAACTTACCTTGTGAACCTCGGTTCCCCACCACTGCAGGCGATCTGCAGCTCCAGTATAGTACACCGTGAAAAAGATGATCATTCCTGCAAATGCGACGGACGAGTCTAAAGCGCTACTAAGGACAAAGTTATAGCTGCGCCACCATGCTTTGTGCCACCTCCGAATCAAAACCCCAAATAGAAGACCGACGGTGGCCCAGCTACCGTAATTCATCCCGGTGGCAGGGGGTATGTAAGACAACCCTCCCAGCAGCAGGGGGACACTGACATCCTTCCCGAATGACGTCGGGTACTGTCTCTTGAGAACATATACAATCACTGGTAGACATGCCACGACGATCAAAAGGTAAAAGAGACTTCGATACCCCGAGTCGTCCGTGTAAAAGCTGATATTGGCCATTATAACAATGAGGATATGTTCCTGTAGCGGCGATGTCAGTAATAGGACAAATCAATTAATAAATACAATGCCGACCTTCTTATTGAACGGGTGTGGTTTCAAGCACAGTGCCCATCTCCCAATATGAAACGTGCGTTGTGGCACTAGAGTATCCCAGAGTCGACCTGCTGGATATGCAAGCAATTGCGCAGTCGACTGTGCAATACTTATTGAAGGACTCCGCAGGGTGAAGAGCGTATTCAGACCACAACCAATGATGGAAAAGGCAACACCAATCACCCACATTCTCAATGTTAAGGCTTCCTGGCTTGCATATTGATCCTTATTGTTAATATAAGCCGCACGGAGCAGCTCCTCGAGAGAACTGTCCCTGTCTGAGACAGGCTTAGTGCTGTCATGACAATTGAAAATATATCGAAGTGGCATGAACTCACCAGATCCTTCTGTCTGAGGCTGAGATACATCAGCGCTTGCCTCGGATTTCATACGGACAGTGCCTTTCTCTTTGAGTACATGTGTGATTCAGATCAGATAATCAGATAAGATTATGCATTGACTTTATACCCTGGTGATGCAAACCCTAATCTTGATCAGGGAGTACCGAGTAAGTCCACTACTGCTGGTCTAGCTACCCCAGGAGTGAAATAATTGGGTAAGATTCAGTAGCTTCGCTGAGATAAGTGCACACAATCAATCATTTTCAAATGACTCAGGGTGTGGATTGCTAGACATAACGCGAAAAAAATTATTATCAGATCACGCGAACCGATTCTGTGAGTCCCATATAGGGACTGGAAGCCGGGAAAATTGGAGCGGACTTGTGGGCAATATTGCAAATGCCTGCAAAGTCCGATCTTCTATGAGCTCTCGGGATCTGACATTATATATACTGCAAGGCTACCTGGATGATAATGGGAGAGGTAGCCTCAACATCGGGATCCTATTTCCATGCAAAAAGTTACCAACCGGTTGTGAAAGGTTCCATAGAATGGAGCTCCAGATGCATGCCTACAACTTATAGCGAAGGCTGACCTGTATTCCATATCCGACTGGCTGAGACCCCAGCCAACCCTAGCTCCGACACAGCACACAAGGCTATCGAAGAGAAGCAAGAGTGGCCAAGTTGAAGTCAGCGGTAAATCCTATGGGCCGTAGTTTGTATATAAAACGTACATTCCATGATGCCGCTTTTTCAAATGTCTGGTCTAAGGGTTCTCCAATGATCGATAGACGGAGCAATGGATAGGCCGTTCGATACTTTTTTTTTTAGATATAAACGGGCAAGCCGATCGTGGAAAAAAAAGGAAAAAAAGAACAAAAAAAATCAAGAATTTATCACCATCCAGAGGACTTATTGAAGCTATCATTATGTACTGGATTAATAGCATAACTCGTACACAAAAAGAATAAATAAATTTGTGCAGGATGTGCAATTCTTAATCTTTATATCTCGTTCTCGGGCCAAAGTTGACATCGGATCGGAGATGACGGATCGGATCATCGGAGATATTGGGCTTCCTGGTCCATATGTTCCAGGGATTAAAACAACTCGTGTAGACTGGGTCCAGATTATTGAGGGCCAGCAAATGTTCAGGCTCTTCAAATAGACTTTGAGTAAAGGAGGAGAAAGAAAGTCATCAAAAAGAGCCAAAAAAACACACAACAGCATCAGTATGGTGGCGGTGGATTTGCCCTATTTGGCTTGCCTTCAGGAGAAGCGCCCTACCGATTCATTGGTTCCAATGAACCCAGGTACTTTCAGTTAGGCTGAACATATGGCTCCAGACGGGGAAGTATCTAGAATCCATATATTGCATCCCATTCAATCGACCGCGCCGGCCTTAACGAGCAAGTCCACCAGTTCTTGGCCACCGGCCTTTCTGGCTCACGAAAAAGCTGTAAAGCCGCCCTCGCACCGCCGATTCACCTTGATCCTTCCTGAATCTAATAACAGCTGCGCCGTGCTGTACTTATTGCCCTCCACCGCAGTCACCATTGTATTGCATACAGCAATGGTAATGCGCCATCCTTGTCCAATGTGTTCGTCTCTACGGCCTCCACCTGAAGCAGTATCTTCACTTTGGAGTATCTTCATCCTCCGCCGCAACCGCGAACACTGTGGACCGCTTCTAGCTGCCTCTATTGACAGCTATACCCTTTGTATGGGGAAGCAATTTGAAAATTTCGTCACTCGACCTATAGCCTGCGAAGATCAAGAGTGTTTCGCCACCGCAGGGGCTGTTGACGTCGACTTTGTCAGAACATACAGCTGCGTTTGCAATCGTGCGGCCAAGCCGACGATTTTCCACGTCTTCATTTCCTCATGTTGAAGGATCCTCTTGAGAACCGAGGTTATGCCAAAGTTGGCGGCCATCCACAATGTATTGCACTCGTCACGTTTATGGGCGGGCGGTTTCTCAACTAAGGTAAGTTCGGACCAAGACGCATAGACATCAGATTTCGGATCACATATTCTGGTAAGGTATGGTTCCAGCCTTTCATCATCGCTCAGTCTTGCGGCCTTGACATGGTGATGCCAGTTCTTGGCAGAATAGTTTGAGAAGGCTCTATTAACATCGATTGCAGTTGAATCTCCTAAATGGGTCTGATCGACTCGTGGCATGAAAATGTTCATATATGTGATGCAGCTGACTGCAAGAACACGCTGTGCTTCTTTCATATCGATTGGACCACGTTCGCTGCTGAGACTAAAGCCATTCTCCCGCATCAGGAACTCCCGTGCTGTTTGATGCAGAAAAAACACCTTTTTGTCGTTCACTGACAGAAGCATACCGCACCAGTTTCGCAATGAGACCTGAAAGTCTTCGTCTGATTCGAGCTCCAGCTCGTCTTTTTTGAGGTCCAGATGGAGAGCAATGTTCATCTCTGTCAATGTCAAAGGACGACTTGCAGCCAGCACAACGCAAAAGGCCTTTCGTGCCATGCCTACGTCATCTGATTTACCGAGAATCTTTGCATATGCATCGTTGACGCTTTTGGGGAGTTGATCTGATAGAATGAAGACGTCATCAATGCCATCTCTGACCTTTCTGAAGCTGTGCCTTTCGAGATAGTCAAAAACAAGATGAACCCAGAGGTATGTACGGTGGTTCATTTCCAGTAGTTGCTCTTCCAAGTGGCTTTGGACGGTGGCATTGAGACCCTTCCTTTGAGCCAGTAGCCCCACACGATGCTTAATAACGATGTTCACTTCTTGACTAATGTTTTCGAATTCATTCTCCCCGGGTATATGAATGCGAGGAGATTCATCAATCAGCTGATGGAATTCCGACATGATCTTCCCGTACGGCCGGCTGGTGAGGAAGAATCTCGCCCTACTTTCAGCATCTTTTTGAATGGATTTAATCTTGTCTGTCAGATCGGTTAATTCCGATTCATTGCATTCGTCTAGAGCGTCTAAAACGAAGACGGTCTGTCCGACACGAGGGTCCTTTAATACCTGAGAAAAGATATCCCAGAGCGCAGGTAGCACGTTGACCAAATTATCTCCATTATTGCTGAATGATTTCATTGCAAGTTTGATCAAAGCCGGGTTGCTCGTAAAAAGCTGGTGTAGCAATGCACAGAGGGCTTGCTTCTGCGTATTCTGAACTTGATCCTTGAAGAAGAAGTAGCCTATCGTGGCCAGCGGACTGGATTGGGGCAACACATTGTCGATGAGATGCTTTGTCAGAACAGACTTGCCACATCCAGGATCTGCTGAAACAATCATCAGGCCTTTATCCTGCTGTAACCACTGGTGAAGATGAGGCTGTTCCAAAAGCCATTCGCCGGTGCCCTCGAGTCGATCCGGGACTCCGCTCTTGTACGATTCATAGGAGGTGTCCATGACGTTGCTAGCCAGACAGAAGAGCTGCCTACATTTGCGTTCATCATCCGACAATACTTCCTCATACCGTTGGGGCTGGATATGGGGGACCTCAGTGTCAACTTCGAGATGTCGCTTAGCGAGTGGAGCGACCTTTTGCAGCGACTCAAAATTGTGGCGAGTGTTTGCTTCAGCCTGGTTTAGATGCTGTCGGGATATCTCGTTGCTGATCGCAGCGGCATATTGCTGAACAATTTTTTCGAGATGTTTGATCGACGATACCATTCCGCTCCAATTTTCCGCTTGGACGATATCACCAACCAAATTTTGCTTCCAGCTGCGATGGAAACGCAGAACACTTGTCACCTGAAACTGCAAGACATGTTGATATAAGTTGACCATGTTGGCATAGAATTGTTCTTTCAGCCCAGCATGATCGGAGTTCGGGCTGGATGCTGACCATAATATCCGCTCGAGTTCGACGTAATAGGGAATGCGACCAGCCACATAAGTAAATCCACTCTTGTTAGCCTCCGTGGCACTATGGGGATTCGTCAGCAGTGGCAGGACAATGCAGACACCGGCCCATGCCAGGGATGCTTCTGGCGATGCCTTGACAGCTTCACAAATTAAGTCTTTAACGGACAGAATCCAGCCTGCATCCTGGGCGAAGCTTTCCTGAATACATCTTCGTTGTCCTTGTGTGTGTTCCAGGCCGTTTTTGATGATAATATCTAAGTCTTCGTGGCAGTTTGTCTCACGCTTCTCATTGGTCTCATTCTGGCTATGGTCATCTTTTACGTGTTAGTATCTGAACGCCGCATCGAAATGTCACAAAGACCTGGGAAGGTCAAGATCGAAACAACTCACTGATCTGCTGTCTTTGCTTTGCCAATAATTCCTCATATTTATTCACTAGGCCTTGATCGAGTTGCTTATATGCTCGGTTCCAGAGAGATTCATCGCTCGTCAATATATCCTTGTCCGGTGAATCATCGACCACCTTGAGAGCCTTTTCTGTGATGGGCTTCTCTTCTTGAGCTTGCGGAGTAACGGGTGCCCACTTGCGAACGACCGTGTCTGCTGGGTAATAATAGTTTTGTGGTGGTGGCTTCTTTCCAACCAGTTTTCTCAATCCGAAACAGCCCATTTTGCCAGTGCAAGACTGATTTTCAGGGGGAAGAGGGGGATGGAACCCCGTCTTTGTGCAATTAATAAAAGTCAGAAGTGCACATCAGTAGCTGAATGGGAGCTGAGAAAATAAGCCATGAGGACCCAATAGTAAAAGGGATGGCTGGCTGGTGCATCGACGACAGCGCTAGAGAATCGCCAATCGCCACCGGCAATCAATGGCAGCTGAACAGACGATTGGTATCTCTCTAAGCTAACCGAACTCCTCCACTTTTTTCTTCGGGGCTTAGTATGGTTGGCTCAGCTGAACAATTTCCCCTGCAGATGCAGATCATTTCAAGACCCATACTAACGTAATCTGACGCCGAACTGGTGTCCCGACCGGCGTTCGATATCCAGAGTATTTTTACTATTAATATTTAAAGCTACTCGTTTTACTTCATATTTTGTTTAATACTGGTTATTAGAAGTAGTTAATAGTAATAACCATCTTTCGTAGATATCTAGATTCCCTAAGCTTAGGGATAGGTAATAAACTTAGGGTGTCTAAAGATAGAATAAGTTCCTTGAACTTTAAGACGCGGCAAATTTTTTCAGGATCGGACTAGTCAATAATCTCAATACCTAAATAGGCTAGTATTAATAGTAGATAATATAGTGGAACCGAATAAATAGATATAATTGGGTGATATTTAGTGCCTTAGTGTTAGTGAACTTGATAATATTTTACATTCTCGACTTAGGCCACAAAGTCTGGATACGTCCGAATTAGTGTTGTCAACCAAGACCCGCCAGTGGGCCAAAGACTTTGCAGGACACCATTAATAAGCCGTAAGTGCATAGATATACACCAGTTACAAACTAATATTAATCCACATTGAGCAGGGTGTCTATTCAATCTCAGATTGCGTGTGCACTGACCCACAATATTTAGGAAGAACAGTTAATTTGGTCGCCAAGCAGGCTTGTGACATGGACATTTGACCAACTTTGAGCTATTTGTACGGGTTATCTGGCTGATACCTCGCTTCCCACAAGCCTTTCCTCTCCATAATCTTCACTTGCAAGCCTTTGACCAGGTTGTAAATAATACGGAGCGTCGGCATAGATACGCCCAACGATTCACCCTCCCGCAGCGGCTCCCCAACTAAGTTCTCGACTTCCATCAAATTGCCTTTCTCGTAATCCTGGAGCATACTGGGCTTGAAGTAAGATTCAGGCTCGTCCTGGGTCATGACCGCATTGATCAGATCTTCTTGCAAAGTGATACCTTTAGCTGCAGCCACAGCCCTGATCTCAAGTATGATGGGAATCACCAACTCCTCTACAAGATGTTGACACATCCGTATGCGCGAAGTGTCCATTTGCAATGCCGTAGCAACGGCGTTAAATGATGAGTTGTAGGCAAGCTTCCTCCACCGCATGGCAGGCACATCCGCGTTGAACGTGATGTCAAGATTGCCAGTAGGATTATAGAGTGATACATAACGTCTGGCGGCATCCTCTGCCACTTTAGCCGGAACTAACGGACTAGAAAAGGGCCCAATCCTCTGCATATCGGTATCGCTATGCAGTATCGTCCCACTAGGAAATATGGATGCACCTGTGAAAACAACGCTGCTGATAAGAGGGTTTGTAGGAAACCGGGCAGCGAGAGGCTTCTCAATGTTCACGCCGTTCTGAGCAAGGACAATAGCCGTCTTGCCTGGAGTAACTGCGGGAGCAATGATGTCGGCCACTGTTGGGGGGACATCGGGAATATTCTTGGTCGTCACCACGATAAACTCAAAAGGCTCCGTATCCTTTTCTGAAACATCAGGAACGCTTCTCGTAACTCCAGTAATGGTTAGGATGGCTCTTCACAATTGGGTATGGGATTGAATAACACACTTGCTGTTGGCCTCCAGGATTTGATGTTATGGCCAAAATCAACCGAGTCTATGTCTATCCCTTGCTTTACAGCACGATCGTGGGTCGATCGCATTACTGCTGTCACTTCAGCCAACCCTCCGTGTTCCAAGGCGTAAGCACAAACAGTGCCAATGCCGCCAGTGCCGACCACCAGCACCCTGCTCTTGGCCATGTTGAAGGTTCGTAATTGGGAAGTCGTGGTGATTTTTCAAATTTCTTGGTTGTGATGCAGAGAGTCTGGGTAGCAGGCTTCAGAGATACTCAAATTGCTAGGTGATCAAGACAGCAAAATCACTCACCAACGCATGACAAGGTGTATCAGAAGTTGTTTCACATTCCATACCACCTCTGCGCCCGATCGTCTGGTGAATTGACAGGACTAAGAATAGCTGCATTCTCCAGCCTACGACCCCGCAGCTCATCAAGAATATACCTAATTCTTTAGGTAAAAGGTAGACAACGTCAACAGATTGCCTGCGGGATTGCTGCCCCTCGCTAGAACAGCCTTGGAACGTGAAATTCTTAGCAGCTTTACCTTGACACCAGCGTCTTCTAGCTGGTGAACACGGCAAATGTGTTGTTGGTGGAGGCAAAGCAGGGGCCCGCTCACACGGAATATGAAACCGATACCATCGGAGAAAAGGTCCGAGTTACGGGGCCGAATCCAAAGCGGAAGTTGATAGCGATTGGACGGGAGTACTCGATGTAGGGTTTGGTTAGAAATTAGTGCCACTCAGGGTGGATCGATCAGCTTCTCAGGAAATCAGAGCTTTATCTTCCTATGTTTGGAATCATGAGAGAGCTTCTTAAGACTAAATCGAGTTTTATATTAATATAATCATTTATAGTATTTTCCATTACTATTTTCTATCTTAAAACCTTCTGGATTGACATATGAGCCGGCTCCATTTGCATCATTCATAACCATTCATTTAAAGCCACACAGCTTTGGGATACAGGGAGTGAGAAGGAATATCTCCTCCTTACTCCGGAAAGATTTGAAGACGCAGTAAATGGAGCTACGTGACTTTCAGCTCAACATCAAACGCACCCCTGTTTTTTCAAGCACTTGACGCCAATGACATTTCTGTTGCGGTTGGGGAGAGGGACCAGCCTTCCAAACATCTTCCAAAACATGAAGTCCCGTCCTAAAGCCCTCGATCCGGTATACTTTTACATGGGAGTACCAGCTGCGAAATCGGTCCTGCATTGCCACGTCAAAAGTAGCGCTGGCAGCAATGAAGACAGGCCAGAAGAGTGGTGCCGCCAACGCTTCTTGTGTTCCAACTTTCAGACTCTCGACCGTCTCCATACTGTTTAATACCTGGTTGACATACGGCAGGAGGAAGCGATGGCCAACCTGTCGGATGTTTTGCGCGAAATAGATGATGAGAGCGTTGTGGAATGCTAAGGTGTGCTGATGCACAATCTTGGCGCTGACCGATGTATTCACTTTGGTGCATCCTTCGAGGCCCACCACTGCAGGCCAGTCTATTATGGCTTTTTCCAGTTGATCGCATTCTTCCATCAAAGAGTCTGAAACCTGACTAGCCGAATCCGCATCACGTACCTCGTCCAACCTGTCGGTTAATTCGATGACTTCGATCAAAAGGACGAGTAAACCATGAGGAATTCCATAGATCCTTTCACAGCTGGACATTCGCGTCTCAAGATCCATATCTATCCCTGCTGGGAAGCCAGACATCTGAGCGCCAAGAATATCGCGGCAAAATATATCAGGCGGCGCATCTCCGGAAGTATTAGCTGCGAATGGGAAATCCTGAAGGCGACGACTAGATCGAGGGGCCGTGCTTTCATAAATTGTGCGCAAGTAGAAATATATCCGATGAAGGGTCTGAGCCTTAGTCGAGTACTTGCGTTTCCATTTCTGTGCCTGACTGATTAGGCGAAAACACCCATTGAGATGAATCCCACAAGTATCAGTATCACCAGATATGACCTAGGATAAGTTTAATTACTTCAACAGACAGTTATAGGGCTTTGACATACATCCATGGTGATCATAGATAGTGTAGTCGCTAAGAACTCCTTGTATCTGGGGGGAGACTTAGCGTAGAAATAGCATTCGACAGCATTCCTGAGCAGGTTGATTGCTTTGCAGCGGTATTTGCTCGCAGCTGCTCGCCAACTTAGAGCATCATCTGTCCGCATATGCGACTGGCCGTCATTGGACAGAAGAAACGAGCTAATGGCCAGTAACGTACACAGGAGAGCTTCACGAATCATGGAGGTTGAACCTTGCATACTTAATTCGCCCATAGCCTGCAGAGCTATCGGTAGGTGAACGGTCTTCCAAGGGCTTTTCTCGTGATCGATGACGCAAAAGAGGTACAGGACCCGATGGGAATAGTGATACATAAGGAAATTTTCATCAGAAGAGAGGTGCGACGAAGTGGGTCGTACGAGGAACGGAGTCGGGGACAAGTCCTGGGAGGCCGCGAGGAGAGTCTGCGACTCATAGTTGCTGTACATAGCTCCAACGTCGAGGAGAAAAGCATCATCATAAGTTCCACGGGGAGTGGGCATATCCCCAGAGACCTCACCCGATACCGATTCCAGACGACGATCCTGCTGCATCCCTAGAACGGCAGACAGACCGAGAGGGCTCCATGAGGGTAACTCACAAGTACCTTCTAGAGACACTTCCGGGGAACTTTTAGAGGCCTGTTGATCTGTCTCAGTAAGAGCCGGCGATCTCACTGACTCTAATTGAACCGGGTGCGAAACAGAGGCCGTCTCCGATGAAATGGATGTAGTATGCCTGTGGCGCCCTGCTGTTCCAAGGACGCCAAAACAATCAATAAAATGGGAGACTTCCTCACGAGGACTTGCTGTATCATCGTAGGCCAGCAAGTCCAAAGTATTGAGAATCTCGTCGATGTGACTGGACGGGAAAACAACCCTCTTCGAGTCTATACTATTGATCAGGATGAGATCATGCAAACAAATACTTGGCAAGTATCCCCGTAATTTCCATCATACCTGGGACAATATTACTACGTGCTGCGGAAGGACAGGGTCCGTCCTGCTCGTCGGCATCGTTACGAACCCATTGGAGCCTCACCCCATAGCCTTCACATTTGCACCCTTTTTGGAAACATTGAATACATTGGGGTTTGGTCTCGTCACATCTGATTCTCCGAGCACGGCATGTCCAGCAGCCTGTGAATGTCTTGGTGTGCTTCCTGATCTTCGCAACACCGAGGCGGCCCGTGGACATTGTGGGCCTTCTGCCTGGGTCAAGATCGCCGCAAAGAAGAAGCAATTGGAGAGGCAACACTAAGCCTGAAGGGAGATCAGCAGAGGCGATACACGAGGAGGTTCACCAGTATGTCCAGGCCGATTAACAAAAGGGAAGGAGAGAGCGATGGGCCAACTATTAAGGCTTGCAAGAACCGTAGGGGCGGGGTAACGGCAAATATGGGTTCCATTTCCCAATTCGTTAATGGTAACCGACAGCCTGGCCCACTGATAACCCTACCAACACCGACATGCATGTCGATAAAACGGGATAACACAGCATAAAACAGGTTGAAACTCATCGTACTATAAGCTCAAACTTTACGAATTCCTACCAGCACAACAATCAGAATGTCGACTACTACCACTCTTGAGACAGTCAGCACAATGGATCCTAAACCGGCAAAACAGGAGAAAGACCAGTGTTTTTCCACTGGTGGATACTCTTTCCCAGGCATTCCGAAGTTTGACGACCCTTACAAGAGCCGCCAATGGCAACTGGAGCACATGGCTGCCGCCTTCAGAGTCTTTGCGAGGAAAGGCTTTACAGAGGGTACTGCGGGACATATCAGTCTTCGTGATCCTGTGCAACCCAACACCTTCTGGATCAACCCGTGAGTTCCGCATATACCAGGGCAAGTAACCAAAAATGCTTACGATACAAGCTTTGGAGTTCACTTTGGCATGCTGAAAGCAAGTGACATGGTCCAGATTGATGAGGAGGGTCAGGTCATTGGAGGAAATAAGGTCGCTGTCAACGCGGCGGGGTTCAAAATCCACAGTGCCATCCACAAGGCCCGTCCTGACATAAATGCTGCTTGTCATACTCATTCGGTGGCGGGCAAAGCATGGTCAACATTTGGACGACCTCTAGATATCATCAGTCAGGATACTTGCACCTTCTTAGGGATTCAGACCGTCTACGAGGACTTTGGAGGAATCGTACTTGAGGATGCAGAGAGTGAGAGGATCACTGAAGCATTAGGCGAGAAGAATCGTGTCGTAATACTACAAAATCACGGTATTCTTACTACTGGGGCAACTGTTGACGAGGCAGCTTATCTTTTCACACTCATGGAACGAAGCTGCGAAATTCAGCTTATGGTCGACAGCACAAATCTCCCCAAACGGTTTGTTGGCCCAAAGGAGGCAGAGTACACTGCAAAGGTGAATCAAGATCCGGTAAGTTATTATATGGCATCTTACCTCCTACTGCGGAGTAAATAAGTGCCAGTGCTGATCAGTTATCTTTTAACAGGAAACACTCTTTATCGAATTCCAGCCAGATTTCAACTATGAGGTTTGGAAGTCAAATGGGGAGATAGCCAGTGGATTGTAACGATGGCACGAAGTGAAATGAGAGGTACAAAATGATGATCATATTGTTTAGAGTGATTACTCAAGGATGCTTACACTTAGGCTATGGTAAGAGCACACAACTGTGCATAGACTGATCCGCTGCGAGCTTACTTGTACGGGGGTCTTCCTTGAAGCGGGCAAGCATGAGGGGCATTTCTTTCTGTCAGATTAATAGGATGAAATGAATAAAAAGATGCATAAAATTCAAAACTAGATTATTTCTAACGAGCACCAAGGACTTACTCTAACTTATTACTGCCACTAACGATGCAGCCGTCGTGATTTGCATGACAATACATAGTAAATAGCGGCTACCACCCCTCTAGTAGGATGGGAATGGGTTGATGTTGTAACTTTGGGTTAAATTCGTTCCATCGTGGTCGACTGGGTATCCACGACCAGGCCTCGAGATATCCCCCACCATGACTCCCACGCTTTACTCTAATACCTCTCTATTAACCAAGCCAGCAGGTCGGCATGTGATTCCATAGCGACACTTCATGACAGACAGGCGGCTGAGTGGTTAACAAGTGCAAGGTCCATCAGTTGGTTGAATGAGTCTGCTTGCAACAACCCTAAGCCGGACTTCTAGCCGAATTGAGAATTCTACTTCTTAAACACTTCTAAAATGGTGTGAGCATAAGCACCCTCACTTCCCCCTCATGTAATGGTGTGAAAGAATAGGAATCTCTGTCATTGCCATCATGTGGCCTAATCACAGGATAGTCCTAATGACAGCCCTGAGGTCATGAAAGTTTACCATGTACTACACAATGTATATCTCCCAGCGTAGTATTACAACCAGATAAACTGTATTACCACAGTTATTAAACCTCAATAAGCTGTTCCAGTGTATAGTCAATAAAGTCCCGCTGTTCCTCCAGCCACCGCCTCATCTCCGGAAGGTCAAAAGCCCGCCGCCCCTTAATGCGATCACGTTCCTCCTTGATCTTCATACGGAACCGCTCTTCGACGATTTCCATACGATAGTTGGTATACTGAGTGTACAGTTCACTTGTGTTGCTGATGGCACGGAGGCCGTTGAGAGTTGTCTCGTCAAGAGCAAGAGGATTCTTAGGCCGGAAGGAAGTGACCATTGCAATGCGTTCACGGCCGCCAAACGCTTTCAAAGCTTGGTGTTGAAGATAACGTCCTTGCATAATCACGGCAGTACCCTTTAAACCTGTTAGAAGCTGCGATTTCAGAAGTATCGTGATTTGACGCTTACCATACTCGGACCGCGAACCTTCCTCACCCCACCGTCAGGAAGTTTGATTGCAGTCTCTCCACCGATCATACCCGTGCAGTCAGAAGCCATTGTCACGCAGACAAAAGGGACACTGTCGTAGTGCCAAGAAACAGAAGCTGCCTGATCCCCTGAGCCAACAGTTGCAACATTCTGGTCATTTATTGAGATATTGACGTTAGCTACTTCGTAATCATAACATGGAACGAGTTCAATGCCTGCAATATCTGAAACAATCTTTAGGACTTCTGGTGACCACCACAGAGAGAAGCAGAACGGGGCGTTGCTGCCAACCCATCAGTCTTCACCAAAATTATGGTATATGGGATGCTAGTACACGTACTCGGGTGTCAAGCCACGGATCAACTGAGGAGTCAAGTCTGATCCGAAGCGGCAGTTCTCGAGCGACCATTCGCTAAAAAGCTCAGCTCTCATCTGCATCATAGCTTCCTTTGTGAATAGGGGGAAAGGGTCCGACACAGCATTAGGAGAGATCCCATGGCCCTCAAGACCGATGTTTCTCATCATAGTAATGTGCTGTGGTGGTTCAAAAGCGAGATGCTCCTTTGGGTTGAATGGCACTCGCTTTGTGCGACGTGCTTCATCAATAAGGTTAAGAGGAAGGTCCTGAGAAGGGCGCGTGGGCTTCTTTAGTTTGGGGCCCTCCACGATAGGAGCCCTTGGACGACTCGGACTGGGAGGGCCGAGGGGTGTTTCCGTGGTGGTAACAGCAGGCATCTTCGAAACTGTAGTAGTGGTGTAGTCCAAAAGAATTAATTATAGCTTGAGTAATGACTTTAGCTCTCTACTTTATCAGATAGAACTTGACTCGCAAACGGGTGGCCTCGCGGAAGGGCAGATGGTGTATTTATGCTATGCTAGTCCTGCTATCTATGTGCTTTCCCGAACCGGCCGTACGACATGCCCTAAGAAGACCCATCTGTTGGAAGATGTGCCTGGAACCCTAGATACCCTCAAACCTATAGTCAGAAGACCCCAGTGCGTCCTGTCACATACTCTCTCCGCACACAACTTACCTCCGAGCTGGGTATCGTTTCCGAAAATGGTTGTGTCCGTAAAGAATGCGAATGCTATCATAAAGCCAACCCTGCGAGACGCATTTTAGCTGCCTTAGATGAGGAAATTCTGTCCGAGAGCTTCTGGGTGGTGGCCATGGCACTTTGCAGGAGGCGGACCCATGCAGGAAAATCCGCGTGGGTCCGCTCCCTCCACTACTGGGTTGGAGGGGCATGCATCGCCGTGACATACTCAAGGTTAGGGACGTCGTGGCTCATGTCGCATATTTTGTCTGTTTTCGTCAAATCTACCAAATGCATGAACAACTTGGCTCACATATTCAATAGAATCATATACAGTTGAGTACCTTATGGTACGAAACTCAAATACTGGAATCTCGCTCCATCTCTATATCTGGCGTTGGCTCAGGCTGTAAAGCATCCTATCTCAGATTTCTCATAAATAATCCTTCGCCGTCGATCACTCTTCCAAATCTTCTATCGTTATTTGTTATAGACCGTTGCACATAATGTTTGATGTCGCTATTATTGGTGCGGGGATGAGCGGGCTGCAGGCTGCAGTCTCTGCTAAGCAGGCTGGGCTCTCATTCTGTGTCATTGAGGCTAGAGATCGTGTCGGAGGCAAGGTCTGGAGCATCCCGCTCGCCTCTGGCCGAGGCACTGCGGACCTTGGTGCTGCCTGGATCAACGATGAGCTGCAGCCTCGTGTCACGGCCTACGTCCGAAAATTCGCAATGAAGACTATCAGTCAGCCCATTGACAAGACGGCTATAGTTCAGGTTTCTGAAGATGAGCGTCTCGAGTTTCTCTTTGGCGTGATTCCCGATGTAGGCACCCCCATTTGCCCGTATGGTGCGGGCCCAGCTTCAATCCGACTCACAAAATATCTAGTTTCCACCGGAAGAGAAGACTAACTTAGAAATGATTCGCGATCACATCGAGGCAGAGTCTCAGAAGAAAGAGGCTCCAAAGCTAGAGGATGACCAGGTTTCTCTCGACACATATGTGCGCAAGCTGGGTGCCACGGAAAAGACTTGCAAGATGGTGAACCTCTGGGTACGAGCAATGCACGGTCTTGAGTCAACTGAAGAGTCGGCAGCGCATTTCATCGACTACTGCCGCAGAAACCACGGTCTTCTCGCAGCCCGAGCTGATGACCACACGGGTGGCAATTACTTACGTTTGCAGGGCGGTAGGTCTTACAAGACCGCAAGACCTTATAGAACAGACACTGACATCTTAGATAGGGACCCAGGACATTGCACGTGGTATTGCCCGTCTAATTGGTGAACAACACATCTATACTTCCCATCCGGTGCAATCCATCCATGACGAGCA